TATATATATATATTGTTTTTCATTAATTTCTGATGTTCCATAGCTTACTCTTTTTATGTGTTTTTTCTTATCCTTCGTGCATCGATTACAGATTATGGATCAGGGTCTTTCTTTTCTTGGCGGTGAGAGAACATTGCAGTGCAGCCCAGTTTTAGAGCTCGCTGGCCACATTTTGGTCAATGGATATTTATTCCGGAGCCACATAGCAGTGGACAGAATTTTTTTTGCAGACAAAAGACAACTGGCATGAGAATGCAAGAGCCCATTTATCGTTCGTCGCTGACTGCAGCCGCAAGCAGTAGCTGGCGGATAACGGATAACGAAATACGGTCGGGCCGAGGACATCATTAAACATAAGACGCACGCACACGTTGAATGGAACTGAATGGAATTGCTAACTGTAAGGACAGAAAGCTTGAAAGATACGAGTGCGCGGGCATATATGTAAGGCGAAGATACTGATAATGAGGTGTTAACTTTAAATAGAGAATGATAACGATGAAAAAAAAACGGAATATATATAGGATCAACCCTCGCCCGATATAAGACTGCCACGGAGGACATTAAAAATCATAAGGTGACAGCAGCGAATATCTACAGCAGGCGCTCAGAGGAATCATTTGCTGCTCAATTGACGTTTTGTAGATCATCTGACGTGGCAAGGAATAAACTGCCAAATATCCGAACGTGACTGCGTAGTCATTCTGTATTTTGGTAGATAGAAGAAAGAGTTGTGTGAGATATGTGAAATATAAAATATGGTATAGTATAGGTGTCAGTCTTACGCAAATAGGTAGGTCAAAATGTCCCGGTTAGAGCCAGTATTTCCTTCACCAAGACTTCTAAATTACATCAGATTTTCATCTACATATTGTCACCGTACTTTACAAATAATGTGTCAGACAAGACACTTCACTGTGTTCGAACCGATTTGAATATAAAGATGTTTCCATTAAAAAAGTAGAAATACACCAACAGCTAATACACCAGGATGCCATAGCTTCTATCAGATTTTTTTTATAGAGCTAAGATTTTTTAACCCTGATACCCATGCATTAGGTAATCATGAGAGCTAATGAACACTATACAACGATTTCAAATATATGAGGAATGCAGCCATGTTCACGTTGGTCAAATTCAACCGTACGAAAAACTAAAACTAAGACTCACCAGCTAGGCCAGTCATGTCGCATTCTGAGCACAGCCCAAAAGCAGATACTGTGAAGTCCTCATAGTGGAAGCACCGTATATATAGTGTTACCTGTATTTTAGACTATCCGAAACGGACTGCCTAGATCTCCGACAATGGCTATTCGAAATATGTAAAATAAAGAACAACTCCTTAATTGAGTTCTCACCGAATCGTACTTGATTAAATATTATTTTATTTTAGTCTAATATCTAATATTTGTCTGGCAGAACAGAAACCCTTTCTGCTTGCCCATATGTCTCCCATCTGTACGAAATCACAAGCTAGACATGTCGTTATTTCTCGTTGCTCTCTGTTCGAATCAAACTAAAGTGTGTCATCCTAACCCTGTGCCCATCACCATCAAAACAAATACGAAATCTAAAATGAGAACACAATAATAGCTTTATTGTTAAACATCCAATCATTTTCATTGTTATATATCCTTTACGGTTTCCTTCATAGTTCAGCAGTACATTCTCGCTTCCGTACTTCCCCTTCCCCATCGATTTTCCTGGAGTTTTTTTCAAAGTTGTCGTTTTTCCTGTTTATAACTCGAATCTCAAATCTTTTCGTTCACGTTTACCATTTCAGCTTATATCTCCTTTACATTATCGCCGTTGCGCACGATTTCTCAACGCATCTTTTGTTCTTTCTTTTTAACTCGATTTATTTCTCCCAAATCACCTGTTTCTCTCCACGGCGATTCTCTACACCCTTCCATCCATCCATCTCCTATTTCATTCATCATTTAATTATTAGCTTAATTAATAATACTATTAATCAATCTTTATTCTCAATATTTCATCTCTTTTACACTAAAAGCTATTTACAAGATATACACTGACCATTAATATTACTATGTACTAGAACACAATAGTCATTTTTGTTGTTGGTGTTGTTGTTGCGGTTGTCGACATCACCGCCTGTTTCGGTGTCACAACTCTAACTTTGCTGTGAGGACAGGTCAAGAGGTATAGGCTGGCTATGCTGCTGTGCAGTGGAGGAAGATTGTCCGCCTGAAGTGTTATTACTGCTCGCACTGCTGACGCTGCTGCTGTTGCTGCCACCGTTGTTATTTGTGGCAGTGGACCCGCTGTTCGTAGTTGGTACGGCTGCTGTGGAGGTGGTCGTGGACCCGGGCGTCGGTGGTCCGTGGCTAGGGGCCGAATTGTGGGAGTCGATCGAACTCGAACTTTCTTGCGAGGGTGAGCCACGCTCCGGCCACGCAATTCCTGTCGAGGTGGTCGAGGCACGCTGGGCTTTACGGCCCCCTCGCCGTTTGCCACTACTGCTTCCTCCTCCACCAACACTGCTAACACCGCCACCGCTCCCGCTTCCGGTGTTGGCTCCGCCGGCGGCAGGCGACGTCACCTGCGCTGGGTTGTCAGGTGCTTCAACCCACGACTTTCGCTCCTGGTGAGCCTGATGGTTCAGCTTCAGTATAAGCTGGCCGCCTAGATAGAACTTAAGACTGCCCTGGCCGGGTGCAGCACCACCTCCTGCACCTCCCGTGCCTGCGGCTCCTCCCCCTCCGTGACTAGTCTGCGCAGCTCCTTCTCGACCCCCTCGGCCGTTACCGCCACCATCGTTGCCTGCTGTTCCTAAGCCGCCGCTAGTAGATATTAGCGCAGACGATTCTGTATTGGTCGCACCACCCCCCAGTAACAGATGTTGCTGGTTATCCGACTTGCGACCAATAATTCGCGCTGGGATTGGTTTGATCTCCGACGGCGGATTCTCGTCAACGGGCGTATCGACGTCGGGATCGGTACAGCCCGTGCCAGCCGCACTGCCGGCGCTACCGTCGTGGTCGTTGTCACTTGTCGCCGCACCATCCCCGTCACCCAGCACTGCATCATCATCGTCCGCGCCGTCCTCTCCTTCGGCGCCATCCTCGCACTCGCTGCCAGTTTCATCTTCCGGTTCTGCAAGCTTCTTCCGGTTGGCGTTCTCACATCGGTCGATAGCGCACGCCAGCAGTTCGGCTTCCCTATTAGTCCAGTTGGCTTTGACCGACATGCGGCAGCCCGCGTCACGATGACACGGATGATGGCTCATGACAAACTCGGTCAGCCCTCTAATGGCGCTCTGCAGGTTCTCGTGACTTCGGTGCTCCAGAGTGCGACTGAAGACGCTGACTGCCTTGGCCATTGATAGATACTCCTGGATAGTTTGGTCGCTCAACGACTCAGGTCGCCACCGCAATGTCTCCAGATCCTCGAGTCGGCGGTTATCACTCTCGCCAGGCTTGAGAAGCGCCGGCACAGACGCCTGATATTGGCGGCCGACACGAATTCGATTGCGCGTCTTGTTGCGACTTTCCTCTTCCCAGAACGCGTCGAAGTCGACGTCGTTGCTTGCATCCATGTTGTTTTCCGCGCCTGCTCCTGCGGGCTGCGCCACGTCGACGCGTTGACGTATGCGCTATCAAGGCAAGACAGGCCTCGGAGGTAGCAGCAGCGGAAGCCTAGCGCGCGGTGCCAGGGCTCCGCGCGCGTCTGAGGTACGCGGCCACGCATCCAGCCGCAGCCACGGCCATCAGCTACTGCCCACTCAACCGGACATAGATCGGCCGAACGGTGGGGACTGATCACGTAAGGTGGTTCACCACTTGCACTTGCACAGACTTGGCAGAGATATTCTTAATGTTGTTAGCTATATTTGAATGATATTGCGCTTTTCGATATGGTGCTCCACCTGTAAAAACAGCAGTAGCAAAACAAATAAGAGCAAAAACAACATTAAAATGATATGGCATCACATAGCGTTTGATACTAGCAAAATATGAGGATTTCACGCATACACAAAAAATAGGACAATAATGAGGAGGTAATAATAAATGGCGGACGCTGGAACACGATAAAAATATATTATGGCTATTATTAAAGGCTGAATGTACTGCTTCAAAAAATAAATAAGTGGAAAGTGAAAAATAAAGATACTTTTAGAAACAATATAGAATATATAAAAGAAGAGGATAAAGATTACTATTCTTTAGCCAATTACATGCACATTAGTAATACATACATGTGTGTGTGTGTGTGTGTGTGTGTGTGTGTGTGTGTGTGCACTAGAATGCTATCCAGCATCTGTAGCAGTGTAAAACATAAAAAATTGGCTCATTTCGTAACATAATTTCAATAATGCTACCTTCCTTTCAGAGTAAAAACTAAAAATCGAAGGAACTCAATTTGAAAAAAAGCAATATGTTAGCTTTGACAGTGTACAATGATTGTTGGCATAATGCGAACCAACTAGATAGATAAATATACCATATATATCATCATGAAACTGTTAGAACGCCTAATGTTGAGAACGATTATGTGCCTTGCAATTACTCATTCAGGGTGATAACAAAGCTCGTATTCACGGCATTGGCAGTATTTTTGTTAGAGAACATTTCCTTTATTTTGCTATGCCACGAATAAGCAAAACGTAGTCAGTAGCCTAAATCGAATTAATTATAATATGAATTCTCATGAGAAGAAAAACCGACCAGTTCAACATTAAGAGTCACCGAACAAATTTCTCATAAGTGTAAAACCCAACTTGAGTGCTAGTTTATCTAAGCCTCGAAAAGGGTGGTTTCATCGATCGAACAACGGCCAGAACACGGCCATCAGTCCCATCAAATGCTTTGCGTTAGTTCAATGCACACGAATCCAACGCGTATTTCTTAGCACTTATTATGAGCGATGTATATTCGTAAGGCCCAATTTAACTAGAAATGCGTTTATAATATATGACATACTTAGCGACTTTACTTGTCCATTGATAGTGAAAATAACAGTCGACAAGTGGGCTGTTTACTTAGATCCATAAATAGAACCCGTACCACCGCAGCGCTCTGAAAATGCAGATTCGCTTTCAAACCATCCACGGTAGCACGAGATGTGCATAAGTAAGTACTTCTACCGAGAGTCTAGTGTAGACTGAAAAACTTCTTCAATATAAGGTTTTGTATCACTGTAATATTTTTTAGCGATTTAAAAATTGCTCGTCGCCTTATGCAAAAAAAAAATTAGTATTTTAAACCTTTCCGGTTTGAAGCCGTCACATGACTATTATTTAAACAAGATAGACGTGTGCTGTTAGCTAGATCATCAAATGTTCATAAATTTCCACTTAGTCAATACCATCAAAAGTTGTAACAGATTATCAATGTTGTGGACATTGTTATATGATCATCTTACTCCGTCCAAATGAGTGCTATAGTGTGAAAACCGTATCTACGTAATACTTATATGAAATCAGAACGTGTATATGTTTTCCGGTACATAAGTTTTCATTTTTCAGAAAAACAAAAAAAAACGTTATTTTTCAATTCAACAGGGGAATGTTTTACTCTCAAAAAAAACATTGTTTTCTCCTTAGGAAATGTTCCGTCCTTTCTTGATAAAAGTTCTGCATTTCCTTCAGGGTAATTGGAAGCCAAATTGTGTCGCGTTGGATAGGAGAAAACTAGCTGGATAATCATAAAGCAAGCGTTATTAGTCCTCTGTTGATGAACAGCAGTCTACTTGATCATCCGAGAAATGATATTAAAATAGAAAACTACTACCTCAACAGTAAGAACATTGTACTCTTTTATCTCGACGTAGCACTGGTGCCCTTGCAGCAGGGAACGAACCCATCGAAATAAGTACACGAAATGTGCACTTCCAAATAAACTGACTAACACGTAACGGTCGTTAATTATAGACACCAATTCACAAACTATCTTAAATAATTCGTCGCCCGTAAAACGGTCGGTTCAGTCGAAATCAATTGCCGTCTTTGTTTACATAAACGTCATCCGCATTCGCTTAACGGATAGGAGGATATTTTGAGGAGGCGTATAGGTGTTAAAGCGGATCGATGAGGTTTTAGCACAAACAACAATATAAACATAAATATATATGAAGACACCTGTGGATAGTATTGGCAGCGCCGCAGCTGTAAGACAGAAATTACGGAAATATCGTCGTACGTGTAAAGCTAACCTCTCTTAACTATAACTGACGAATAATTCCTTACTCTGGGTACTCTTAACTAACATCTATACCCAGACTCATCTAACAATAAGGACCACATTAAACAAACAATTCATCTTTAGAATTAATTACACAAATATCGCGCTAAGAAAAAGATACGTCAACATCACTAAAAAACACTGTAGCCAAATCAACGTCGTGACTGTTACCGTCTTGTTCGCTGATGAGTCTATACGAAAGTTTAAAAAGTAATCGAATCGCCTGATCCCCTGATTTGTCGCTTTCAATTTAATAATGATCGTTATTATTATGGTAGGTAACGTACATTTAGATGGCGCGACATACATTAAATTTAGCTTGTGCGCCATCTTGCGTATGCTGTGCCCTAGTATTTACTTCAAAAGAAACGCCAATTACATTAAACTACACAGGTCTCTATACTGCCACACGTTATAGGCAACAAACTAAACGTTGAATTAATAACCATAGAACACGAACAATTTTGGTCACTGTACCTTAGCGTATATGTGGCTTAGCAGCTGACCCGCGCACGTTGCATACTATAACTAAGAATGGACATATATAGCGCTGGCGTGAGCTACTTGCTGTCACGATAGGAGACATCTCGAAAGTTGGCACGTGTATTCGACGAATCAAATAACTAACTCTCTGTCATACGGAAGATATATGATGTGTATTGTACGGTATTGAACCATTATTGATCACTAAACTTGTAGCGCAGGTCACACGCTGTAAACCGTTAATGACAGAACTTAAGTAGTTGACGCGTGTAAGCGCCCGCGACTGTCGTCGCCATGGCCCACTCAAAAAAGAGACGGGACCAATAAAGAAAATATTTTAATTCCAGCGATTATTTAGCAGACAGCGTTGGCGGATGACACCGTCGGCCACTCGCGCAACAAAGTATACGAACTCCAACATGTCGACAGATTTCTCATTTGACAGCAAACTTATGTAGAATAAACAGACGTTAAAAATAATACTGTTCGTCTGTTCGACAGTAACTCACAGTATATAGTATTGCTGATTAAAGTAAGATTCATAATAAAACGCATATGTATGAACATATACAATTGTCTACATAAATATACGTAAATAGTTTCTTAACGCGATCTAATGCTTTTTATGTTATGCCGTTAATGCTATCGCCGTTTTGAACGTTTGGATAAAAATACACAGCATTGGACCCGTAGTCTGCTGCCTAGTGGCAGTAGAATAAGTCTCAAATATATATGGATTCCTGATCACAACCATATATTAAATTAGAGATCAAACTTTCTTCTATTATTAATGGTATTATTGAGAAACCTACCAGACACTAGTAACTACTGGACAATACTTGCCTGTATGTATACGGGTCGATGTTGAGCGACAAACTAGCACAGCTGCGAGTTAACAGAATGTGGATCTTCTTGCGTTTTGTTTGTGACCGGCGGAAGTCGATCAGCAGTAGCCCGTTTAGATGAACGGACACACGTTTGCTTTATTCGTATCACCAAAGTAGACCGCCACTAGGCAAGTCCTAGGCGCGCAACTGTCGACGCTGCTTAACAACGAGTAACGGAGTAGTTCCGTAGCATTCCTTCTACCGAACACAAACTATTATCAGCACGAATACTATGTATTCATTATCGACGGGCCCAGCGATACTCAATGCTACAACGGCGAGACCCTTAAATATATATATATATACACATATGTAACACGGAATTGATTTACTACATCATGGACACTAAACTTGATCCATTGCAGCCTGCCAAACCACCAAACGGAGTCAGAAATGGATAATTGTGTAGTGAAATGTTGAAGTGTTGCTGTCGCTCTTACTGGCAAAAATTGCGACTGTTTTTTCTTTGTCACTCTTTCATTCGATCTCGACTTAACGGTAATAATCCAAACACAGAACTTCGACCTGTTTCGCCGATAGTTTTTCCGCCTATATATGCTCCAGTCCAGGTATGTTTTCTTCAATGTGTCGGTTTGTTTATGTTGCAGGTTCACACCAGCACAGTGGATAAACACCGGAGCGATTTCCTTTTGCACTTTACGATTCGTCACAAATTGGCGATCAAAATCAGTTACTTTAGAATTTCCAATTTCTTTCTCCGGAAGAATCGAACCTTATAGGGTACGGTAACGACGACAATGGGGGAAATGAGTGACGCCAGCAATGTTGTTCAGTCGTACGCGCCAACTAGCAAATTCCGTAACGTTGTCCGATTACCGGATTCCAGCGGCCGTGGCAGTTGTAGGCGCCGCTTTTCGTTGGGCCTTCACGTCGGTGTCGCCGAGCCGACTGCTCCTCTTTGTCGTCAAAGTCTCACCACACTCACAGTGCTCACTACCATAACAAACAATCCACGCGACGTCGACTACTATGTGCTGTTGTTAGCTAATTTTTCTCGCGGTGTCCGCTCCCACGAACGGCGTTTAGTCCGTTTAGCTACTGTTTTACCCGCGCTGCAGTTTAGCTCCGTCGGCAGTCGATTGTGCAGCGGCACGAAGTTTCAAGACGGAGTTTATCGCAGAACTGACCGTAGCTAAGTTCGCTTGCCCTGTTCTAGCCGCAAACACCGTACAGACTAAACCGTAACAGCAAGAGCAGCAGGACTCTTCGAGACTGGACTTGGACGACAGCAGTAGCAGCAAGCAGCGGCGGAAGCGGCAGCGTTTGTCGTCGTGCAAAAACAACATGGCTACCTCCCTTGCCTCGCGACAGCGGCGGCGGCGGCGGCATCATTCGCTCGCTTGTTCATTCACTCTTTCTGCTTCGGCTGCTGCGATACACTCTATCGCTCCACCGTACTGTCTCTAATAATTGGCCTATGTACACCCTTACGACTCTTTCAGCTGTCGTTGTCCGGCGGTGAGTCCAGAGGCGGAGAGACACAGGCCACCACGAATGCTTGTTCATTTATAAGTAAAAATAACTGGGACTGCTCAATAAGACAAAAAAAAAAAAAAAAATACAACTACTGCTGCTATAACGATGTGCGACACGACGGCGGCTGCTGCTGCTGCCGCCGTTACCAGTGACCATATGCTAGTGTTGCCGGCCGCCCGACTCAACACAGCCGCGCTCACTCCGCATAAATACGTTCACACTACACGCGCATAGTTTAGAGTCGGCCCTTACGGATATAAACAAACTGGTACACGCGGTTTCTCTAAGAAAGGTTGATATCTACGCGATATACAGGCAGAATCAACGTCGATGTTGTGTTCTTCGTCCATAGACATAATCGGCGGTATGAGAACACATCGCAGCAGTTGTCGTCTTGCGCGTTGGTGATGTCAACGCTGATCTTGCTGATTGCTCCTACTGTTGCCGCTGCGCCCGTATTTCTCAATAAGGGTTGGTGCTCCATTAAAATATCAACTGCGCTAATAGTGTTATTATAACACGCAGTCCGTTGTGAGAGTGCTCCGTTCGCGCCTCTTCTCCAGGCATCCGCCCTTACTACTATATTTTATCATCCTTTCCACTGTTTTCGTCGTCTGCTGTTCGACTCGCGAATAGAATAAAACAACCTAAATGGGTGAATACAGACCACGGCTCGTATAGAGCCTTTTGCAGCAGTGAACGCAAGCTTCAATGGCGGTCGCAGCGCAAGCTCGTCGATCGTCGACTCCGTACGAATACGAAGGCGACGATAATGACGATGAAGTGTGCTGAGTGACATATCAAAGCCCCGTGCTTCAGCTAGCCGAGCGGAGCGCATACTTGATGGCACTCCGGAGTGTTACATAGAGAGAGTAAGAGGGACACGCACGATTCTACCGCTGTTCATCTTAGATAGCAAGCACCCAGACACCCACATCGTATGAGTGGTAGAGCTGCTGCTGCTGCTGCTGCTGCTGCCGCCGCCTGTGGGGCCACCGAATCCATCAAATTGTATAAACATCCATGGAGCGCCACTAGTGTAAGCTTTGATTCTAGCCGGTCAAACAATTCGAACACAATCAAATGCGGCGGACCATGCTGCTGTCGATTGTCGTTGTCGCGGAAGAGACGACAAGACAGGGCTCTCGACGCTCTACGTGACGGACGAGTTTCGGCGGCCATCATCGACACAGTGTAGACGTTAGCCCGCAAACGTATTCTTTTAGCGGGGCCCATTAAGTCCAGAAACGGTGAAAGGGCCAGGAGTAAACCGCTACTGATAGTGCTGTTATTACAAATGGCAGCAGCGGCGGCGGCGGTGACGGCGGTAACAGCAGCCACCAGTAGTCAGCAAACTCTGAGGAACGTAGTACAAAGATTGACAGACGCAGGGTGGCAGTACTGCGGGCAAGGTTTTCCGTCCGATCGTAAGGGTGGTCCGTCCGTTTAGCCCAGCTCAGTCAGGCCCAGCTGCTATCGGCAACAGCAGTAGTAACAATAGGGTCGTGAGAGTGGTAGGTGACCGCAGAGGTCTACTTTCCAGGCTAATCTACTTCTCCGCTGTTCTATACATTTCAGTCGACAATGACAGTTTCCAACGCTTAGATTCGTGCGTTAGCAAGGCTAAGTGGTATAAAACAATGCAACGAGACGATTAGAAAACAAGCGGCAGCAGTTAGTAATGAGAGATTGCTGTTCCTCAGTGTATCTGATTGCGTGTTTGCTTTTCTCAATGTGCATTATCCGTCTCCGTTGAACGGCGGCTGCCAGTAGCAACCATAAACAGCATATACATAAGCAGCATCGAGGAAACGTCAGCAGTAGCAGCACCAGTCGATGCAACGACAGCTGCAACAGAAACGACGACAACGAGCACTATATAATTGCTGTTGATGTTTAGCTCAGTACAAGGATGGACACCTGAAAAGACTAGACTAAAAAAAACGAACGGAAGAATAAATAAAGGGGACGGGAGTGGCACGCTTGGAGGCAAATAAGTTGGCCGTCCTGGATTGTGTTATAGCAACGTCGATTTAACTGAAGTGAAATGAGTTTAAGCTCCTACAACCATGTGGTAGCCAGTGCAAGCTAGTGTAATATTGTTAGCGTTATTGATCACAAACTAGTACCGTCCTTTCTGTGCGAGTGAAGGGAAATATGTCGGACTCTTAAAATGCCAAACAACAAGTAAACTTATCGAGCGGAATATAAATCATACTTTTTGTTGATGACAGAGGGTCCTCCGTCGCTTTCCTTTTGGTGCTCTTCGTGTAACTGTAGGCAAAAAGAAGAGCTTAGTAACTTGCGGGTGATATATGTGTATACCTCTATGACTAATCGGGTGAAGAGCCTGACATTTAAGCTGCCCTTGACAACCCAGTTCGCTTCGACCGGGAAACAGTGACGCTGGATAGAGCAAATTGGTTTTGACAGCAGTAAGACCGAGCGCGCTGTAGGATTAATGAAGATAGCCAACGGCTTCTAGCAACCTTCGCTATCAAATTTTGGCGATTGTGATGAACGGTGATGCATAACAGATTTTGCTGGTTCACTACGGCTCCATGAACTGTAGCAATAAAACATTATTCGAGTATCTGCATAGATCAGCGCCCAGCAATTTACTCTTCCTGCAGTCAACGGATTGGCCGAATGGAGTCTCGGGTCATTGGTAGCATTAGCTAGTAACAACCCAGGGTTGTTTCTAGTGTATGTTGTCCTGGGTAGCGGCGAGTTGCAACTGCAATTATGTATCTGCTCCTTGCCCCGCTTCACGTTTGATGGGCTGAAAACGGAACAAGACGGGCGAGTGTTGTTTGCTTGGATCCAAATAAGCAAACACATGCAATCAGTTACGACCAACACCCTTCCAGCGAAACAAACTCGTGACGCCATAACGGCACATTGCCGACCTGTTTTTTGAGCCCACGACGACCCGCGAGCGCCATCGCCAGAGCGAAATCTACTTTCTCTATGAGTGCCCGCCACCGAGCAGACCGCGGAGTTGTTCCATTGCCTCCTCCTGCTTCTATTGCTGTCGCTGCTGGCGCTGCCGCCGGCGCCGCGGTCTATGCTGCTGCTGAAAGGGGCCGACTCCCGCTCCTAGGCAGGCTACTATTGCTGCTGCTGCTGCTGCAGGAGCAATTGTCGTAGCCGCAGTAGTTGTTGGACGATGTCGGCTCAGTGTCGGACGGATCGAATGCGACAAGTGACTGGCGGTGTAACGTCGTTGATCGTTTGACGTCGGTTGCGTAGTCGTGTCTTTTGTGCTGCTAAACGGCCATGACGACGGCGAAAGCACCAAACGACCATAGTGGTGCCTAAGTTGAGTTACAAACACAATCGGAAAGAAGTCTTTTGGGAGCAAAACGTTGCTTATCTAAAACGCCGGCGGTTCATCACGGAGTTTAAGATAAGCTAGCAAAAATTAAGGTTTTCATTGAACATAGTTTTATACGAATCTATCTCATTCAAAGCATTGAGTCTTGTATGACCTAAGGTCGACTTGTAGGACAGTGTGTGCACGGACTTAACCTGTCAAAATGCGCATCCTGTTACCACCCTCTCTGTAAACAGGGTCCATCGGTTATCCAGGGTCTCTTCGTAACTCTGAAGTGCGGGTTAAGCGCAGTGCAAGGTGCAAGAAGGCATGGCTCCCACTGGCGCCCAGCTCAAGTTGGTCTGCGATTCGTTGCGGAACCAGAGTGCACCGTTTATCTGTCCTATTGGCGAGTGCGGCCGATCATACAAAACCCTGTCCGGAATCCAGTTCCATATCTGCAATACGCGCCATGAGGCCGATGCAATCATGGCTGCGTGCGAACGTGCACGCTCTCCTCGTAAAGAGAGTCACAAAGAGACTAGTAACAATAACAACAACAACAACAACAACAACAACAACAACAATAACAACCACGTCAGTAGCAATCCAAACATTAAGGAGAGCACCCATCATCGAGGAGTTTTAGACTCGGGTAAAAATAAAACAAAGCTCGCCACCCTTAACGGCAACAGCGCACAGGTCGGGACAATTCCTGCTGACCGAAACGCAGAATCAGGTACAACGAATATAAAGGGTCCAGGCAGGGCGGACACCCCTCGCATTGCCGTGGGCTCCTCTACACTGCCCGGTGCGTCTTTGGGAAGCGGGACGGCACAACCGCGCGAGGGCCTGACATATGCTGAAGCACAGAAAGTCGTCGAAATTGATGTCGATGGCGGATTGTACAGACTCAATATCGAGGAACCTCTTAGTGTAATTCTGAGCGACGAGGCGGACTTGTTAGGTCATAGACCGGAGGGTGCGCGTCAGCCGGATAAACCACGCAGTCCTCACAAAACAGCGAAAAGCAAGAAGGCGCGCTCGAGCAAGGTACAGTATGCTATGAACTAAGGAAATGGAGGTTTCAAATTTTTTGCTTCCATTATGACTTCTCAGCGGCGGTTTCAATTTCTTACTGATCTAATATTATAATAATCATTATCGTGTCTGTTGTGCAGTTGTAGTCAATTTTAAATGTGGTGCTGCCCTGGGGTACTGTTATTGGAATAGATTCGGTTGCGTTTAGCCTTTACTCAGCTACAGTTCATTGAAAACCACTTTTTCAGTATCCCACATTATATATATAACCTATTAGTATTACCTCTATAAAAGAATCATTAAAGCGAACGTAATCGTATTCATTGCACTCTGTATATTATCCTTAAATAGTTAAACATGCTTGTAACAATAAGGCCAGCCAAAACAAATCTTTTTTTAGTGTAGACATGAAAGCGCATTGATTACAAGCTTACATTAATGGTTACAAGATTACAAGTAATCATTAATGGCTATCGGCAGTAAAATCCAACGCAACAAATGAAATAGCGAAAGTCTGATTGTCCCAATCCTGTATTATATGTATGTTATACATATTATATATAGGCATGTAAGAGGCCAAATATTCATTTGGCGCCAACCGCACTTCAGACTACGTAGAATAGATTTTTGAGCAAAACTTTGATTAGTGAAGAATTTGTCCTCTCTTCACACATAGTCTAGGAATGTAAGGAAATAATTTGAGTTGCCGGCATCATATCACAGTTTTAGTATAGGCATAGGCATAATTGTGCATATTATTTTGCCGTCTGGATATAGTATCCTACCAAAGAGGCGTCCTAAGTAAGCTTTGTTATTGACATAACACTGTGTATCGCGCATGGTATAACGATTAAATGTCTATTTGTGCAAAAATCTAATCAAATTTCGCCTTTTTGTAGGCGGGAGCAAAACTAGCAGGTGCTTCAGATGGTGGCAAAACCGGTGGCGCTGGAGGCGTCCCGGTACGGCTTCCAGAAGCTGTTGTATCGCTAGTTGAAGATTACGAATGCTCAGATGCACCCCAGCGGCCTGCCACTTATTACCGATTTTCGGAGAAGACGCCTGAGGAACTGGACGAAATGGTGGAGTATGATATGGACGAAGAAGACACCGCCTGGTTAGAGATTATTAATCGCAAACGAAAGAAACAGGTAAAATACGTCAAGCCAAGCATTTGGACGATTCCTTAAAGCAGTTGAAATTTGTTACAGTTTATAGATGCTGGAGACAGGATGCGCACGGGTCGTTTAACCAATATACGAAATCTTAGAGTTGAACAAGGAAACACGCTGTTTACTTTAATCAGGCGCATTGGCCTGTAAATTGCCTCTTGAAATTCGTCTGCTTCTAGTTATAAAATAATGCCTCTTGTCAACCTATATATTTATAAAACTAGTCGTTTCAAAGCTTAATTGATTATTGGTGGATAAGCAACGTCACTAATATATGCGTGGATATAGATACATTCTGGTACGAGACATAGCAAGACGAAAATTGCTGATATTTGCTATATGTTTGTCAATTTCTCCACTATAGGGCATTCAGTCAGAAGTGACTGGTGATACATTCGAACTTTTGATGGACCGACTCGAGAAAGAGAGTTACTTCCAGGCGCAAAATGCGCCGCCTGGTGGTGCTGGAGGCAGTGGAAGCGCCATCGATGACGACGCTGTTTGTGCGATCTGCCAAGACGGCGAATGCCACAATGCTAACGCCATACTCTTCTGCGACATGTGCAATTTAGCTGTTCACCAAGAATGCTACGGAGTACCGTACATCCCCGAAGGCCAATGGCTATGTCGGCGATGTCTACAATCGCCATCACGGGCCGTCGACTGTGTCCTGTGCCCAAATCGCGGCGGCGCTTTTAAACAGACGTCCGACGGCAAGTGGGGTCACGTTGTTTGCGCGCTGTGGGTTCCCGAAGTGTACTTTGCCAACACGGTGTTCCTTGAACCGATTGACAACATCTGCAACATTCCGGCGGCTCGTTGGAAGCTAACCTGTTACATCTGCAAAAAACGCGGTCAGGGCGCGTGCATACAATGTCACAAGGCCAACTGCTATACGGCTTTCCACGTAACTTGTGCACAGCAGGCGGGGCTGTACATGAAGCTGGAGGAATGCAAGAGTGGCGAACAAAGCGGAGTTCGAAAGACGGCTTTTTGTGACAGCCACGCGCCCGTGACATATAAGAAAGTGGACAAGATGCGCAGCGCACGGAAGATTCTTCAGGAGCGTGCCAAAGCGCTGCCAATCGTCTCTATTCCAACGATACCGGAGGAGCGAATGATGCACGTTGCTTCACTAGTGTCATTACCCCGCAAGGCTGATTTTCTACAACGTCTAGTCGGCTATTGGACACTGAAGCGTCAATCGCGTAACGGTGTGTCGCTATTACGTCGACTGCAGATGTCCCATCTCAGCAGCAGACATAATAGGAACGAACCGGACCTAGACGGCGCAACAGTGGCGATGCGTGATCAACTCAAATACTGGCAGCGGCTACGACAAGACCTGGAACGCGCACGGCTACTCTGTGAACTCATCCGCAAACGCGAAAAGCTCAAAAGGGAACACATTCGTCTTCGGGAGAGCCATTTCCTTGCGGAAATTAGCCCATTACCGAAGGCGCTTAACGAACTGATCTCTTTGCTACAGGAGAAGGACCCGCATAAAATCTTCGCTGAGCCTGTTGATACCCACGAGGTGCCTGACTACCTCGCGCTGATTAAGGAACCTATGGATTTCTCCACTATGCGAACTAAGGTCAATAATCTCGAATATCAGTCCTTCAGTGACTTCGAACGAGACTTCAACCTTATTGTATCCAATTGCATGACGTACAACGCTAAGGATACCATCTTCTACAAAGCGGCAATCAAACTACGTGACCGTGGCGGACAGGTCATTCGGACCCACCGCGAAAGTCTGTCGGTGAACTTCGATTACAGTACGGGCCGGTTACGTGCCAACCCGCTTATACGAGGCAGCATAGAAGTCAGTGGTGGATCGAACAATAGTAATAATAATAATAGTGATGGCGATTTAATAACGCCACACCCTCACCCTTCACCGCCATTGAACTCAACGCGCACAAGCCACCGACGTTCAGACGGAGCTGCCGATAGCCAACAGCTGTCGCCTGCCTTGAAGGTGAGCTCACTGAGCGTGCCGGACTTCCTTCGGTCGGATGAATTTCGCTCACTGAACCTCCAGTCTCAAGTGAGCGCAGTGAAGGGTCGGCAACAAATGGTGGCTTTGGAAGATGCCTCACCTCTTCGCACGAAATACCAACGATTGCTTCGCAGCGAGCTTGTCAAGCTGCGTCGGAAGCTATCTCTCGAGAAAAAAGCCACTGAGACAGCAAACGTTATCGACTCCGAGCAACAACAAAGTCAGCCGAAAGAAGAGGTTGTGGGTATTAAGGAGACAATGTCTGGCCAATTGGACGATAATGAAGAGTCGGGCACTGAAAGTGATTCTACGGTCGAAACAGATCAGCAGGCAAATGCCGCTGTGACCGTGGGTAACGCGAACCTTCATCAGCAACCACCGCACCACAATCATCATGGCAGTAACAAGCACCATAGCGCTGGAGGAGGTTCGCAGCCAGAGAAGGAGTCGTTCAAGGTGAGAGTCGACCCGTGGGGAGCACGACGATCTGGGGATACAAATGATGTTCCCGATGTACCCTGCGTAGAAGTACAATGAGTTTTTTACAAACAATAAGTTGATACAATAGTAAATGCCAAAAAGAGACAAGACTTCATATTTATGATATCTTATCGTATAACAACTGTATAAGCCAATAATGAGCTACGTAACGCGGTATAAAGCCATAGAATTCAAATGAATGGTTGGATGCTACAAACAGCCATAAGGGTTTGAATCTGGTTGAACGATTGTACATACGCACTTGCTGTCGCAAATAGCAAAAAGTTATATATATATATATATATATATATATATATATATATATATCATTATTGCTAAGTTTTAGGCGTGTTGTAAGATAAAGTAATCAAAAACAATAAATCGATACTATCAACTGAAGTCGATCCGACGTGTTGCTGCATAGGGAACTCGGCCTCGTGCACCGAGTATTCGCTATGAAATATATATAGATTTTGTAATAGAGCAATTGCCATACGTCATTGATGATTATTATTGCAAAAACGTGTCTCATCACTTGCAGACGAAATGTAGCAGCAGTTTGTCGTCTCAAACGTACGATACAACGACACCTTTTTTAGTGCAAAAATACGAATTCTTACTTATTACGGTGACTTTCGTAGGGATACTAGGCTCTTCACAAATGTGACGTCTTAATTCTTGCTTGAGTTTTATCGAGCTTGAGCGTTGCGTATTGACAGATGAATAATGGCGGAGAATTGACAAAAGTTAAGTATCCATAAGTGCCCATCATCTAGCATCTATAGTGAATATCTGCCGACACATGTATGTATGAAACTAAAATATAATTCTGCTGGCCAAGGCACACACAATAAATAATCGATAAGCATCGTTTCCCCGCATTAAGATACCAATTCCAAACGATAACTTATTTGAACAATTACGGTTTTATAGATCTTGCTGTCCGTGGTCCGATGTGAGTTAAGCCCTTCAAGTGTTAAAAATAGTGCCGGTGATGGTTATGGAAGCAATTCTTGCGCGATTTTAATGTGTATATATATATATATATATATATATATATATATATATATATATATAGTACTAGGATACTTGATCACTAACTACTAATATTCTACTAGTTGTCACTGTAATCGTGTTTGTTCGTCTTCTACTGAAGTTCACGCTAACTCACGTATCCGCTCTGTTGTTGTTGTTGTTGTTGTTATTGTTTGTTTGTTGTTGACGACTTTTTACTTTATTCTCCTCTCTCTGTCTCTTTCCCTTTTTTCGTATCCCTTTCTCGTTCTCTCCTGCGTGTCTTCGCTGCCGTTCACGTTTACCACGTCAACGGTATGTTCGAACTGACCATCGTTGTTACGTGTTCCGTCATTCGTCACTTTGGACGGGCTGTCGTCTAACGGCGGACTATTCAGCAGATGTATCGCGAAAAGGGCAGCGACGATGAGGAAGACGATGAGGGCCGTAACGAGGAATCGGAGGACGTTGAGGAGGAAGAAGAGGACGAAGAAGATGAGAACGACGATGATGAAGAAGACGACGACGACGACGAGGAGGGGGCAGTCGGAGACGAAGGGGCTGAGGACGATGACGAGAACGAGGTTGAAGCCGATGTTGACGGCGAAGAGATCGACGACGAGGAAGATGGGCAAGAAGTTGGTAATGACGATGATGGTGATATAGAGGAACAGGAAGAAGTTGACGATAGCGAAGAGGGCGACGCGACAGAATCCGACTTCGGTGGTGAAACAGTAGCGGTAATAAATGCGCGAACCGCTAACAACAACGGACCAGCTCGAGACAATAACGACGAGGAGGAGGAGGAGGAGGAAAGCGAAAATGGCGATGATGATGATGATGATGATGATGATGGCGATGGTGATGATGATGACGACGACGATGACGATGATGATGATGATGCTACAAAGGTTCATGCTCAACAGCAGCAGCAGCAGCAGCAGCAGCACCAACAAACCCAACGAGGGCCGCTGGCGTCGACGTCAACACCGAAAAGGAAAGGTCGGCCACCAAAAAAGGGTCGCGGAGGTGGTGCCGCACGGGGCGGGGTTCCGAGAGCGGTAGGGAGGGTGGGCAGGCCTCGCCAAAGTGGCAAGGCTACGAATAACGCTCGCATTAATAGCAACAGCAGTAATAAGAACAGCAACACTAACAACAATGCGACCTCAAACATCAGCAGTAATAACATGAACATCAATAATGACCACGAGCCATCGCAAAAACCCTGCAAAACTAAAGGTCGAAAGTCAGCGGCGGCTAGCCGAGCCGCCAAGCTGAACGTTAGCAGTCATAACAATAACGAAAATAACAACATCGAGCGTGGTGGCGCTAGTAGTGGTAACAATAGTGAGCCTGCGGACGATGACATTGACGGGCTGAAGGATGGTGAGGGGGGGTTAGACGAGCAAAAGCTGTACGAAATACCGCTCGAGCCCCTGGATCTGGTGTGGGCCAAGTGCAGGGGCTACCCGTGGTATCCCGCCCTCATTATCGACCCGGATGCGGCAGCGGCTAATGAGCATGAAAACACTGGGGCCGCACAAGATCGAAATGGTGGCGTTGGGGGTATTCGATTGGGAACAGATTCAGGGGGAGCGAGCGACGGTATAAGCATTCCTGCTCCACCACCACAGGTGTTGCAGCTGCGGCCGCGTAACAGGGAACGGCAGCGGGACCGAGAGCCGCGGGACGGCAGCCATCGACCAGGAGGTGGCGAAGCCCAACGAGGTAGCCCGCAACAGTTGTTACAGTTGTCGTCGGGCGGGGCGCTCGGAGGAAGTAGCCAGCAGCTGTCGTTGCAGCAACAGCAACAGCAGCTATTCCTCGTGCTCTTCTTTGACGCCAAACGGACGTGGCAGTGGCTGCCGCGTAGCAAGCTCGTCCCGTTAGGGCCGGACGCTGACACCGACAAAAAGAAGCTGCAGGCAAGCCGAAAGCCGGCTGAACGAAAAGCGGTAAAAAAAGCGTTCGAAGAGGCGATCGCGCATCGATGCCGTGTGGCACGCGCCACAGGCGAGGATCCTATCTCGTAGAAAAGAGTCAAAGACGATAAGTCATCGGCAAAAGGATTGCGATGTTGCTAGTGTTGGTGACTTGCGTCTTGCCTCGTAGCAGTCGTCGCAGCAGCAGGAAAAAGTAATCTTCCACGTTTGTTTGTACATCAAATCTTCGAGCGGGGCCAACACTTGCAACACGGCTGGAACACACGTGGAACGTTAGAAGTAGCGTAAAGACTAGCGATGGTGGACGTGTATTGCGGTAAAATTAGAAGCAAAGATATAATGTACGATAGCTTGGACCTGTGGCGACGTGTACTTGTTCCATACAAGTAGCGTTACAGTAGTCGAAAGTGCACTCCTTCCACGATGACGATGGCTGTCGAGAATTCTAACGAGTCGAGAAGGGTTTTAGCGTCTCGTGTTGAGCCTTGTTCACACGCAACACGCGGGAGTTGCGCGAGTCTCATTCGTAGAAGATCGACTTCGATCAATTGCCAGCAACTGAAAAAATAATCGATCATACGTTTGACCTTCAATAAGCTCAAGACTACATTAGATGTTACATTCGTCGTATGTAATTCGTAGTTTATGCGTTTGTCGACCGAATACTTGCGGGCTTCGTGTCGTTTTGCAAGTGCTACATTATGACATTGTATAATGAAAGTGTTTGTGTTGGGTTCCAGCATCAAGCAAGCGAGCGGTAGCCGTCCGCATTATTGGCGCTACTCGCCTGCATTTGTAGAAAATGTGAATTTCATCTTGGCTCATCAGTCACTCCTCACGTACATGTACATTGATTGATTGATTGTAAGCAAGCAACAATTGAAGTGACTCGTGCCTGTCAGGGTAACTAATGGAAAGAGTGAATTTATTCCTAGCATTTTTAAAAACCACGGCAACAACAGGTCCTTGCATAACTGTAAAAAATGTATTATTTCATAAATTATTTATTATGCGCTTCTTACTAGTGTCGTTCACTTCCCATCTAAGTAGTCTGGGAGAATCGGCAAAGAGTTAGTCATGTGGAAATTATTCCCGATGTATAGTTATTTAATTAGTGCTGAATGAGTACAACACGGTGTTCTATATTGCGAAGAATGCATTGATGTAAATTATATACAACGAAGATCAAACACATAACGCCCGTAGATTTAACCGAAGGTATTACAAAGTTTATACTTTTATGAAGCGGTAAGGCCAAAAAATGCAGTGTATTGTTCGCATTACGATTACCATGATTATCGAAGTTTCTTATTCCCGTTCAGGACGAACCAGACCGCCAACAACTAACGGCCAACTAAACGGCATGAACCTTCTGAGGCAATTTTCATCATTTTCTTAAATGAGAATGAAAATAATAAACGTTCTTGTTTTCGACAGCGGCTGCAATAGCCTATTTCAGTTCACATCATATATGTACGTATGTATGCATACGTACATACGTATGTGTGTATAGGTTATTGTATTTCTTTTGGAAATTATGACAGAAACACTTAAACTAGTAATCCTATCATCGAAGCGAAGCGAAGAACCTGACCATTTTTAACATCACCAGCAAGAGTTATCGTTGCAGCGGTGCGTGTCAGTGACTGACGCGCAGCGAAGACTTTAGCCTCATCACTCGTCGTTGGAGGACAGGCTGTCATTTGTCAGATGCTGGCCAGAGGCAGAAGGCGTACGAGCTCTGTCTGCTTGCCTTAAATTTATCGACCTCCATTACTGGTCCAACAAATTAATCGCCGGGCGCGACAGTATCTCCCTGCAACTAGTCTCTCTTGGTACTGCGACAATCCTCCTGTCACCTGTGAAAGATAGCTAGGCCGATTAAAGAAGCAGCATTGAAGCATATAGAAAAATACTAGTTGCGTTATAGTGATTATAATAATATTGTAATAATTGTAACAGGATGATAGAAGTTCGAATATGAAGACAAGATGTGTGTATTACCTAAATGAAGAGATGATTTTAGGGACTGACAGATAACTGCTTGTCCTACATAAAACAACAGCAGTTTAATATATCAAACAACCAATGAAGAAAATAAACATTAAGCAACTGACGATGGAAAAACTAAAATAAACGGTGCGATAGAAGATAACCACATTAAAACAATATAAACAGAAATTTAAAAAGTGAAGAGAACCTTTGTACATAAATTGAATAAAGTAGATGATAATAATAATGACGATGATGATGATGATGACTATAACAGGAACTCGAAAGAAAAAGCAGGTATTCTTCCATGATAGAATGACAAAAATGAAGTGATCCGCATCCTAACAGTCAAAGGCCTTTCTCCTTTTAGAGAAGTGCCGATAGGGACTTTCTAGTAGTTGTGGTGGTTGGCCCGTCAGCAAGTTAGGTCGTAATTTCTTATGAATGCATTAACGAATGACAAAAATTGGCGTGAAACTATTATAAAGTACCGTATATATTTACGCTCATATATTAGATTCTTCTGACTAAAGGTGCTTCAAATTTTAAAATCACATATATACTGAAGCCTTCATTTAAAAGAGGTAGGTACATTGTGATTTCCGGTAGAGCATGTAATACCAAAGCGCTTTCAGTCAGAAGGGTATAATATTTAAGCATATGTCTTCTAAATTGGGCAATGAATAAGATGGGTTGTTCCAACCACATTAGGTAATATTGATAAATCTTGTTTTTATCCACTGCAGCACTGAATGCTATAGCTTATATAGAAGATGCAATCGTCAAAAATTCTTATCAAGTCGTCAAAACGATAAAAATACAAGTAGATTTTAAAAGTCCGCGAGCATGGACGGAAAATCCTGTCTGCATTGGTTGTCCCGTTTTCTTCGTCGAGCTGAATTGTGAATACTTTTTAAGGAAATTTGCCTGGCCAATCAGGTAACAGAAGAGCAAAAAGAACAGCTTGCTGAGCGATGACAGTCCAGCCCAACTGAGTGCGTACGGGACATACACACCCAATACAGCGCTGCCTCCAATAGATGTACGACTATGAAACTCAAGTAGAAAAGATTTTTTAACTGACTATAAAATGTTCTAGTATAACTGCACTACTTTTTTTTTTGTTTTTTTTTTTTATCATTGACTGCTCTTACTATTCAGCTCTGAATCGGTTCCGGGATACCTGTGCCCGGCAAGGCATTAGCAATAGTCACTTATGCTGAGCTCTTTATATGAGACAAGCGAACAGACGCAGCACCTTCTGTTATCCGTCGAGAAAACTCAAATCAGCTTTTTTCCTTGTTTACTAGATGGAAAGCTGCTTGGCTTCGCGTCGGACTACCTCTTTCTTCTTCCAGCTGATCTCGGTGTGTTGACAGTAATACGACGGTGACTAAAGTAACTGCTAACAAGCTGCAACTAGCACTTATAATCCATATAAAGTAGCCTTTCTTGATCTGCTGGTGATTAATAGATGGATTTTTATTACCTTTTTATTCCGAAAATTAGTTCTACCCATCCCCAAGGGTCAATACCACCGTTGTCAACAAACAGAACCGCTTGTTCTGTTCACGTAAGTAGTCTTCTTGTCTAACTCCATTTTAATTTCGTCTGCTACTTGTCATGAGGTTTTCTCTCTTGCTCTCGCCAGCCTCTTGCTAGATTTTTAGCACGACACGGCGATGACTGCATAACAATAATAATAATGTTTCATTTTATTGCTGCTTTTTTTAAATCTACCAGTAAGCAGCTTCAAAATGTCGCCTGCGCGACATCTGTTCTATGTATTATATTAAATGCAGGTGTGTAACAGTTGAACCCAATAAGCAGAACAGGATTTGTGCACGAAGGGCAGGGATCAAAAGTATTATTAACAAACAACGACAGTTGCATCGATATGTTAGCAGGCTTCTGCTATTGCAGGCCGCCATCGCTGACAACAACAACAACAACAACAACAATCAATCGAAAAGCGCGAGTAAGAGCAGACCGTAAGGCATGCATCCAACATTACAACAATATTATCGGAAAGGGGAAAGGTTGAACGTGTTTTGTGTTGTGAAGCGGGCGACAAATGCCTCTCTACGTTATGCGAGTGCGAATGATACCGCTGCCGTTTCCGAATGTGTGTGCGCCCTGTGTTTTTACACCCGCGGCTGCCGTTCCTATCTGTGTTGTTTTGGTTTTGATGGTTGTGGCTGCCGCCGTTGCCGTTGCCGCCGCCGCTCCCGGTTCCTCTAAGTTCGGCGCCGTGACGGCGCTTCTCTTACGGCTGATCGAGTTTGTTTGGTAGTGGTAGACGGACATTCCTCGGTGCTGGTTGATCCGTGTTTCGAGTTCCATCTGGCATTAGAACTCTGTCCCGAAGTCGCTAGTTGTAGATTATAGCGTTGATAGTAGTTAATCAGTGCTTTGACGCTAGCCTTCGTCATGTGGGTCAGATAAAGAACAGGCGGCGGGGGTGCTGGTGGAAACCCAGAAAAAAAAATTGCAGTGAGCAATGATGATATGAAGAGGATAGTAAATTCTCAAAGAAGAGCCACTGAAAGGCAAGCCTATACTGTAACCAAGATTCTACGTGCGCCGATGCATTGTCTCTCTACCATTGTCCCATCTGTAGCTGTAAACAACCGAAGCCCTGTTGGTTTACGCCGTGTAATTCGACAAATTTTATCAACAATCATTGACGTTGATACTGCCACTACAAATTCTACTTTATATTGTCATCGCACATCGCCGCACGAAGGCGGTAGGTAGGACTTGGCCACGATCATTTGCTACTATAAGGAGGGAGCTGGAGCAAGTTGTCGTGGGTGTGTTGCAGAAAAGCAGAGAAAGGATCCACACATTATTATTATTATTGTTAACATTTTTATTGCTGATCCAAAGATAACTAGTGGTGTGCAGTCGAAAACTGCTATCGTTTCATAGAGACGCCACGGTGTCCGAGAGAGCAAAGCATCGCTTACACAACAAAGATCTTGTACGACGACACATACACCCAACGCACTAGCATCGGAAGTCAATGGATAGTGGCCGTGTGCTGGCGGTGCTTTCAGTAATGCTGTTTTTTGTGTCTACTGCTGAGAACAACGTAAGTCGTGGGTATCGTTCGTTGTGTCCTATGTGTCTATGATACTGACCGTACTTACTATCGGTTTCTACATATATAACACTGTCAAAGGTGGTGCTTTGGTCTCTTTTGCGAGGGCAGCTACCCTAGGTGCTCGTTTTTGGTGCCTGTGTTCGTGGAATTCTTGATGCTGTCGTTGTGAAGTAATGAAGAAGTGATCGTACCGAAAGTGAGTGTATAATGGCGGTAGCAAGTCCAGCATCGAAATCGGCTTTTTGAGTAAAATATTTTTCAGACACGTTCTGAACAAACATGGTTCTCCTCAGGCAGGCCGGCAGGACAACGTCGATTAACGGGTCTAAAAGAGGGCGACGGACCAACCGGCCTTTTAAGAACTAACATCTTGACCCAAGGAACGAATTTAAACGAATATACGTGTTGGTGGCAGCAGCAGCAGCAGCAGTAGAAATAGTGAAGCAAGATTCACGAGCCAATCACTCCGAATCATTAGTCGAGAGAAACTCATCTCAACAAGATAATACCATTAGTTTCCGTTGATATGCCTCATGTTGTTGTCAGTGGAATAGTGTGGCTGCCAATTATTCTGTGTTGACGTTAGCACAGCATATTTTCGTCTACAGAAGCAACGAAAAAAAGAAGTTCCACGCCAACGGACAACATAAACAAAAAAAATATGGTGAAACTCTTCAAACCAAGTTGGGTTAACCATGATGGTAAGTAGATCTGGAAATAAACCTATACTAGACCGCATTGATGATAATTTAGATCTGCCTATTAATAATTTATATCACTCACTGCTTATATATATGGTTTATCAATCTTCTGTATTTAATTTTGTATTCCGTCTGCATATCCCTAGGCATTCTTAATAAATACCAGCTGAGAAGTTTATCGAGTCGTAAATGCCTTTTCCCCCTTTAGAGAGTAGTAAGTATATAATTGTGGGCTGGTCGTTAAAAACAGACGTTTTTTCGCTCCGCGAATTTTAGCTTGCATTAGTCGATGTATGTGGTAAAAAATGATGAGAATTTTCTTGGTCATGAGGTCAAAAATTAATTGATCACATTTGCCATATTTAGGCTTTTTTATTTGATCATGCTGTAACATATTGATCCTACCTACGAGATTTAAAAGTTCTTAACTGGTTTGCTTGGACAAGGAAATTGCATCTGTACATATAAGTTTTCAGAAGAAACACTAGGCTGTATTATTACGATGGCCTATTATTGACCTCTTGGTCGAGTCCGGCACTTTGATTCTATGATTTCGAGAGCGCATGGTATCTAACAGCCACAGCCTTCTGATTAAATTAAGCCAAAATATATATGAATGCTTAATAGTAGATTTTTTTCAAAGTGTAACAAAGAATACGCTGAGTTTAGTTCCAGTTTGTTTATTATTGCTCTCTCTGAAAGCTTGTTACAATCGTGGCCTTAAGTCGTTTTGAACTTACTTAGTTTAACGATCTGAAGTTTCCTAAACTGCATTTCAAATAGGTTGACTTTTAACGGAAAATTCCCCATCATCATTAGCGGACACCTTTTTGACGACCGCCGCATTACTACAGCGTTCAATTGCACATTGAATCTTATACAAAGACTCCGCTGCTATCCTCAAATACTTACCTTCTATTGTCTTATTATCTGCTATAGCAGTTTGTTTCGTATTTTCGATTACGATATACTTCAGCAGTTTTAACCATTTTTTTGCCCATAGGCAATCCGATCTTTTCAGTCGACGTTCACCCGGACGGAAGCCGTTTTGCAACGGGAGGTCAGGGTCAAGACTGCGGGCAGGTGCGTTTATTTAATCGATTGTTTACAGTACATTTGATATCTGAATTTATTTTTCTCCAAAGTTATTAAAAATAACCTATCTCCGTTCAAAGTTAATGTCCGTATCCAGTTTTCATTGGTATGGTCCTCTAGCCTTTTCTTACTAGATTTGTCTCTCTGTCAATTTAGGTGTGCATATGGAATATGGGTCCTGTGTTACGAGCCGACGAGGAGAAAAAGGATAGCATACCGAAGCTGTTCTGTCAACTGACTAATCATCTTGGTGATTATTCTAATTCATGATTTTAGTATTTTTATCGTAGCTCAGTAAAAAGTAGCCTGTGACTTAGAGCAGTGTCATTTAGTAAAATGATCAGTTAGTTTGTGAGAAGTCACATGTTGATCAACTATTGATGATTTTCTTCTCTGCTAGCCATTTATGTACGAATCGGAACTTATTTCTCTTGGGTCTAATAAGGCGTCGAATACGTTGCCTTTAATGATCCCCAAACTCGCTTTAAAGGTAGAACTTTAAACAATCTCTATGCTTTTCAGCCTGCGTTAATTGCGTTCGCTGGTCTCACGACGGCCGTTTTCTAGCTTCGGCTGGTGACGATAAAACAATCATCATTTGGCAGATCGGTAAGGAACTCTTAAAATATTGTCAGTAATATTTTCAAATATTGAGTAAAATACGTATCTAATGATGCGTTTGTTCTCTCTAAACAAACTTGTGATCGAATCCACCACGCCGTTCATGCTTAGGTTTTTGAACTCAGAATTGTAACTTACTATAATGGCGTTAGAAAGGGTAGCACAAAAAATTAGTCTGAAGATGGTAAGATTTTTCACGCGACAGAATTCAGTAATTTTTCGTTTTGAAGACTGTTGATTGTCCGAAATATGGTAACTGCCTGATATTGTCAGAGAAAGTTGTCGCTTACTTCGGAATAGCATAGTGCCGTAAATGTTAAATATAAGTTCGCTCATTTCCTTGTTGTTTGCTTTAACGTTCCTAGCATATATGTTTTGCTCTAAATATTCAGGTCGCACAATTAGCGGACCCGGATCATATGGCGCTGCATTTGGAAAGGCTAATGTCGAACAGTGGAGAACCGTGGCTTGTCTGAAGGGCCACGATGGAGGTATGTGACTCTGTAGTTGTTTTTATTTCGACAGGGAAAGTAACGTTAGTTACGGTACTTTGTTTCCTTCGTTTTCAAAAGCATCTTAATATCTGCACTCATGATCTAAATGTTGTAAAACTAACATTGGTAAGGATTGTTTGAGCTAACAGCTTTTTCTTTCCTTCCCATTTCAATTGGCAGACATTCTTCATGTGGCGTGGTCTCCTGCAAGCGACGAATATATTGCATCCTGTTCTGTTGACACAACAGTCGTTGTGTGGAATACTCGTCGATGGCATGAACGTGTAGCCGTTCTTCGAGGACATCAAGGATTTGTCAAGGTAAAAGTCACATGTTTTGGATTCCTTTTGCTTATGTTTCTTTCAAGGTTTAGCAAGCTCAGTGTTTTCCTTTCAGTTCTAATTGTATCTAGAATATAGCTACTAAACCAGTAGCTATGTTTTGATATTTATTGGCGACGAGTCTAGCTATCTGGTGCATGGGGTGCTAAATCGGATTCATCTAGCTTCACAATTAATAACTAAGGAGATGGTAGAATCAATTAAAATGGGTTCATTAATTTGCTGTTATCATTATTTGATTTTATTTTAATTATTTTGCCTACATTTGTTTCAGGGCGTCTGTTGGGACCCATTAGGGAAGTACGTAGCGACGCAAAGCGATGACAAAACTGTGCGACTTTGGCGAACGCACGATTGGCAACAGGAGTGCGTCATTTCAACACCTTTCGAAGAGACCGGCGGTACAACTCATGTTTTGCGCTTAAGCTGGTCACCGGATGGTCAGTACGTTGTGTCAGCACATGCGATGAACAACGGCGGACCGACAGCTCAAATCATTGAACGGGGCGGCTGGCGAACCGTTAAGGATTTTGTTGGTCACCGGCGAGCAGTCACGGTGGCCCGATTTTTTCCCAGTATACTTAAATCAGCCACCAGCACAACGAATTCTTCTGGCGATAGCAAACAGTATCTTGCGGACATGTTCAACTGTTTGGCGATCGGATCTCGGGACCGTTCTGTGTCCATATGGCGTAACGATCGTAAGCGTGCACTCTGCGTTGTACATGATCTCTTCACGAATTCAGTCGTTGATTTGGCGTGGAACCCGCTCACGCAACAGCTGTTGGCATGTTCGTCCGATGGCAGCTTAGCGGTACTTGACTTTTCGGCTCATGAACTTGGCAAGGCAGTCACCCAAGAAGAGCAAACCGGCCTTTTTCAACGTCTGTACGGCCTTGAAGGTGCCGGGCAAGCGGGGCAACTGGCAGGATTGGGTCTCAATACTTTACTTGTGGAGAATGTCGACGTGTTAAAGGCACATGGGAAAGCTAAAACCAATGGAGTGGTACGTGGACAAAAATTTAAGTTTTTTTTTTATGAATGCCAGATTTTAGTGAATGGCAAAAAATATACCGTTATAGAACACGGAACTGAGATTATGCCATAAAACATGTAATACATGGCCTGAAAGTGGGGACATTCAATTGAAGTGTTTCTTTCTTTATTCGCAGACTCCGACGACAGCTGTTCCTCGAACGGATGTCTCACAGACAACACAAAGTAACCCGTCTATGGTTTCTTCTCAACGTTTGGCGAAAGGTCCCACAGATCGACAGATCGAAACAATTCTTCCCGATGGCCGACGTCGCATAACCCCATTGTACATTCCTCTGGACTCGGTCGGACCTGAGGGTGGCGAAGGCGGACCTCCATTGACATTCAGCAGTTCCAGACAAGAGAAATCCAAAATTCTTGTCGAGAAACGGGAAAACTCATCTTGCTCCCTGCCCCCGGTACCAGCTACTGTAGCGACACCCCAACCGCAAGTGTGTTCCGGCCCAGACCTTACTATCGCCCCTAGCAAGCAGAACCAGTCTTCTCAGGTCTCACAAAAGCCTTCACAGCCGCCACAACAGCAGCAACAACAACCACCACCAGTTCATACACAACAAATGGTGCGTTTCTTCTTTTTATAGGATCGACGATTCCCTGAGCAATCTATTTTGATCTGAACGTTAGTGTTCTCACGGAGTTCCGTCTAAAGCTTCGTTGACAGATTTCACAAAGGTAACACCTTCAAACGATATTTAAACAAGTCACGCCGAGCGCGTCCTCGAGAAACGTAAAAATTTGGTGATCAAGCATTGAAGTCATCTACTATAGTGTTTACGCGTCTATTACAGTGCTGCTTTAGAGAAGGCCTTACTGAATGAAACAAGAGAGAAGGGAACACGTATTTTAGTTTAAGACACACATTTTTTTTAGACTCAACCGGGTCCGGTAATAGCGAGCAATGCTGCTGTCGATGGAAAGGCAAAGCCGAAGAGAATTCGGCCGACATTGGTTAGTGCTCCTGGCGGCCAGCCTATTGGCACCAACGGACTGCAAAGCATCTCTTATCAGGATAATGCGTCCCCTACCCCAATTCAATCGGAGGATGTCAACGCTCAGCAAAGATTCTCCAGCGTCACCGCCGCCGCCGTTAGTCATCAGGTGCGATGATGACTAACTAAAATCCTATTAAAGAAAAGGAAAGAAAAAATGTATCTTCAAACTGGATTTCAAAATCGTGCGCAGCAGACGGAGCGTCGCTATCGATTATACAGTCGGCGGATAATCACATACCATATAACTCGGCAGATGCACCACTTTTGAAGCTACGCAAACAAAAATCAAACATGTGTTCTCATATCAGGTTTATACCGAATATAATTTCAGTCAAGTATGCAACAGCTACGCTTTTTCAAGTTTAGTACAAGATAAAACAGCCATTCTAACGCTTTATTACGTTTATTATAACACAATTTGTCAAGCTATAAGCTTGATTCAACTTTTTTTCGTTTTGTAAAGCAATCTTCGACTACGAGCATTTGTAACTGAAATTTGCATCAGAGTAAGATGCAGAATTCCGAGATTTGATATTGAGGGTGCTCTCGAGGGTGGGACATCAAACATTTTTTTTAAATGCAAGTTCAGAAGTGTTTTACGGCAATGCACTAATGCACGAAGGAAGTTATTTACATTGATCTAAGTTAAAATCGAGAAATATTATTAAAAACAAAGGGTGATTTTGACTGCTTCACCGGTCGCTTTAATCAAAAGCCATCTGTATTTTGTTAGCGATTTTCGGAATTTTGAAATGGGGGATCTATATGTTCTATTTTGCAGGTATCTGGTCCTATGCAGCTACCGGTTAATGGAGCTCTTGTGCTTGGCGCACAAGTATACCCCGCATTGCAGCTTCGTCAGCCGTGTGTGATAAATATTGAATTAGGGTAGGTATTCATTTTGAAATAAGGCCACAATAGTGTACCACCAATTTTTGTTTTCTGTACATGATACTGGAAACCGATTGTTCTGTATACTATATCTATAGTATTTTTAACTTACGCATCCAGAGCATACTTAGGATATTTAAAAAGACATGCTTCGAACAGTGCTTTTATTGTTAATTACGCCTTTGCTTACGTAGATGAGCCATGAGTAATAAGAAATTTACTCTACATTATATACTCTATATTACTACTTACATAAATGATAAGAAACAAAGCCTGTTTGAATGAACAACTTATAAAGGATACTTGATATAATCTGAGCCGTGAATAGTTAACTGATCTACCTAGAATTCACTTGATCGTGCAGGCTGACCGTGCAAATTACGATCAACATCCCTGTAGCGGGCGGATGGACGATGTCACGCATTGTGTGCACCAAAATTGTCACCGGATCAACATCCGCTACCGAAGGTGCCCCGATATCGCAAGAGGTTAGCCACAATCCGCGCGTCGGACTAAGGTCATCTTTTTATATTGGATCTGTAAATAGGCTTTGCTTGTTTTTTCCTGCTGATCCGGGTGCATTTTTGATAGCACAAATATAAAGAATAAAACTGGTTACATACATCTTTTATCTGTTTTGGGCGGTGATTACGCGACTTTCAGTTGTGGGACACGGTCCTAGAGGGGCGTGTCTGTGCGGCGGCTGCTTCCGTCAATCTGACGGCGTTGGTTGATTCCGAGGGTCACCTAGTACTTTTATGCACTCGATCTGGTCGCAGATTGGTATCTCCTCTGGTATTGTCTGGCCAAGCGGCCATGATAACCTGCCGAGGCTGCAGAATCGCGGTGCTTACGGTGGATGGAATGCTCACTCTTTATGAGGTGAGTAGTACTAACAATATACTTCCTATTTTAGTAATGTCCAGTCACAGATGACATTATCTGTCTAGATTAAATGTTAAAAACTATTTTCAGTAGCTGCAGCTCTTATATAAGCTCTCTCCGTGAACAATTTTCCGTGAACAAGTGGAATGTCTCTTAAGCTTTGTTGATCTTAATAAAAAAAATGTCTGATCTACTTTGTTTAGGTTTCAAGACCCGAACCGGAAATAGGCGTGTCATCCAGGGCTGACGCACCGAGCAGTGAATGCAGTTATTCTGCCAGCCTTGCTAGTCTGGTTTACGGAGATGGGCGCGGTTGTTATCGACGTTTGTTGTCGGAAAGTGTTCGATCAATTATGAGTGCCAACAAATCGGCAACACTGCGTTCACTTGATCTTCTACAGCCTCAAGGACTTCCGTTGCTGTCACTTTCCAATGGTCGTAACTACTTCTTCGACCAGGAGGCTTCGTCGTGGTGAGTTTTCCTCGACCGTGGGATAGCTGCAATTTTCTATGAGTAGAAATATACTTTATTGCTTTTCTAACGGTTTTCCTAAAATATAAGTCTATGTATGTAAAAGCTTTTCAGTCATTTGAACATCAGAACATGTAAATTCACCACAAGAAACTAACACATGTGGACTTTATAGTACAAAGAGGTATACTTCGATCACACATACTTTTCTACAGATATCAGTCAGGAACGCAAATACGCTGTGTAGATTTGTATTAAGTAGCCATCGCCTAATGCATAGCCTTCCTTTCTTTGACACATTTGCAGGAGTTTGATAAGCTGGACTAGCGGCGTGATTAGTCGATGTTCAGATCATTATGCCGCGCTACCTGTGGATAGCACCCCGAATCAGAAGGGACCTTTAGAACGAATACAAGGATCACTTCTTCGGTACGTTTGTTGAAAATTGTCGCAGCTTAGTAGCGCCATTTACGCTGAGCACGTCTCATTTCCGATTGATTTGTTTTTAGCTTATGCAAGTTACATATAGATCATCGTTTCTACAAAAATAAGTATGTGAGCTGTGATAATAGCTATGCTTAAAGAAGCTTACGAATAAATGATATCACAACAATATAATATTGATTTGGATGTTCCTCAGGTCTACCGCTAGCCGCACGATGAGCAGCCTCCAAGCGAACCCATCGATACAAAGGGTAAGAAAAAAAAAAACAACTTCTTAGCGAACTTTTTTTTATGAACTGTTAACTTTGCCACTGCTTACCAAATGCCATTCGGTGCGCAAATATCGCGAGTTTTTTTATTTTCTCATAACTAACACCCACCATAATCGATGTACAACAGTAAATATTCACAGTTTACGTTAGGTGACACGGATAAGAGTTTTTTTACGCCAAACTTGCTTATATTACAGTCGGCAACTCTTGCCTTTCTGGAAAGCGAACTCAACGGAGCTCGTGTTCTGTCATCACCGAGTGAGTTCCGCTTCTGGGCATTGGCCCTTGTGCGTTTCTTGGCCTCTGAAGGCCTTGAAGCACGACTTCGATTGGCGTTGGATGACATCATTGCTGCCGATGGATTTCACAACGAGACCGAGTTAAGTTCTGTCAGTGCACGCCAGATGCTCGCGGACGTCCTTCCTGTTATAGCGGCCAATCTGCGATTGCAGCGCGTCTACCTTGAATACAAACAGCGATTGGAGTTGCTTCAAGGGGCCAGAACGCACGGTAAGTGCAGATTAAGCCAATATGTAGTTAAATAAATTCTCTGAAGTCAACAAGAAGTTAAACCAAAATTGATAAGGAACCAATATCCCTAGGAGTGCGTTGATTATGGTTAGTAGAGCATTAATTAGCTTTCTTCTTTTGAAACACGATGCGTTGACTTTTTCTTCCTTTGAATAATATGTAGCTGTTGCGTATTTTTAACAAAGTGTTTCTGTTATGTTCATAGGCAAACTGCCGCGCGTAAGTTCACTACGTGCTCGGCAGGCCGCGGCCGTAGCGAAGCCTCCACGGCGACCTAGTCCACAACCGGAGAATGTTTCTATTGCCGTCGGCGGCGTGGAGAACGGGACGTCAGGCGCCGGAACTGGAACAACTACGCCTAAACAACCGACTCCTGGTGTGCAGCCAAGAAAGAGAGGTCGTCCTCCAAAGAATCGTGGTATTTCAAAAATTGCACGTGTAGAACAGAGGGCGGAACCCGTAGAAGAAACTGAGGTGGATGCGCAAGGTCCGTTAGCTATAAACGGTACGGTACAAGAAAACAACAACCACAACAACAACGGTAAGATACATTGTAAATAGCTTGTATTGTAGAATATTATTAAAATCCTAACTGACCGCTTCGGGAAATTATCTCTGGCAAAGCTCCGCATGAGCGCTATTTACACATTGCGATAGACGTACCGTTTCTCTACGACAATTTAAAATCCCACGCAGTTAAGCTTTGCTGTCAACTATAATTTTTTTTTTATAATGAATCCGTTAGGTTTCTTTCGGTATGGCTAAATTGCGGTTACAAATTGTAGCTTCTCCCTAAATAATGTCCGTTCATTGTCATCGTAGGATGCACGACCCAAGCTGGGAGTACACTCACGAATGAAGTGAAAGAAGTTCTCACTCACAAACAACTAAATGGTGATAACAATAGCAGCAGTACGAACGAGATCGATGGCGATGATCGAAAAATAGAGTCAACAAGCAAAGATGCACCAACAGCAGCAGTGGGGGATTTGGTTATCACAGAAGCCAATGGCGGTAAAAGTGGCTCGCCGTCGATGGCAACAAGCGGGGGCTCCGTCTGCCGGGTTCTTCAAGGAGTTCTCAAAGCTATTGAAAAGGAGGAGGAGCGCGAACAGCGTCAGGATCATGACGACACAACGATACCCTTGGTAACCAGTCAGCCCATATCAGCAGCAGACGCTGCAGCAGTAGCAACAACAACAACAACAACAACAACAACGGCAACAACAGCTGTTCTAACTGAAACAGCAAACACTGCCACCAGTATAGCAAACGGCAGCTAGGTAACCGCCGCCGCTAGCTTGCGTTAGTTTTATTCTAATCTATTCTACGACGAGTTTGATATATCAGTGACATCGAAGAGACACACTCAGTCTCATGAACTCCCTCAAAGGACAGGGGAAAAATAGCAGGTCAAACGGGGGTAAATCGTAACAAATTTAACTCTGCTTTATAGTTACCCGAAAAAGTCGACCTCAACTTATTTATTCTGCTTAATGTAATGACCAACAAGCAAAGTGAGCGACCTCGATATATTGTAAATAAGTACAAACAGACACACACACACACATACACACACGTATATATATATATATATATATACATAGGTAAAAGATATGTATGTCGTAGCTAGACAGATAAATACTATATCCTTAGCTAGGGTTATCTTATTACAGAGCAAATCAATATCTGAAATTGATAAAGTAATCAACAATAAACGTGGGAGAGAAAATTGCGGGTATGACAGATCCGCCTGTTTTACTATCAGAACAGAAAAGTGGATGAGGGTATATCTTCACTCCGCCAAATGTATCAATAGACATGATTATCTTCGTGATGATCTGATTGTACAGACAGTTACCATTAGTTACTTGGCGCCCTGCGCCGTGTCCAACTGCTCAGTAGCGAAATATCCTGAACAGTGGATGCGTACGTTGGCGCCTCGAGATTGTATATTTTCTTTCGGTGTCAAAGATCCAAGACTCAATGAATATTGACAAAAAACATAGCCTGCATAATAATAAACATCTATGTTTTTTAAGTGCTGCGGTCTTCTGGTAGGCTGCCTAAAAGCCGCGCCAGGCTATCCGTGATCATAATGACTAAATCTCCATGTATGATTACCTTGCAAAACGGTTACAACATCATGCATACGTTGCCGAAGAAAGACACCTACGGACAAACTGCAGCATCCATCGACTGTAGTTGTAGCAAAATTGGCGAATCGATGGGCAAAGGTGTTTCAACAATGCATTGTGAAAATAGTACGATGAATGTGCTGCATTACTTTCTGCTATCAGTGATTAGGATTTTCTCAGTGGTAATCACAGTTTTCCATGGCAAATTGTCGGAATACAACACATTTTGTACAATATATTCATAATAAATACACGCGGCACCGGGCAGTATTTGCAAGTGTATCGAATAGGGCTAGTATTTTTTTTTCTAGTAATATTAGACAAACAACCTTGCTATTTTCTGCGACACTACATTGTAACGGGCTGACTCAAATCTGATTCCAGAAACAGAGAGCTTGCCTCAATGTGCAAGTTTATGCCAAATGATCTTGTAATGCCTTAACTGTGTAATAATATAAGTTTTCCATCAAACTGAATCGTAACGTTTGTTATATGCTTGTATTTATCATGAATATTAGCTGTACATTAGCTTTTCCATAAATGAGTTGTTCAATGACAACAAGTTCTTTTCTATAATAGCGATGCAAACCATATGTATTTGATCACTCCTCGGAATATCGGAAATTCTCAAATCTATTTTTGCCCATATATTATTCCATTATCAGCTCAGGTCTCGATTTGATTTGAACTATTCCTGCGCCTATTGCTGTTTCTAATTTAGGTGGCATCTCAATCCTTGCTATCTGGCTTTCTTTTTTACCCTGCCGGTAAGACGTATTTTTCATTCAAAAAGTTACATTCTCATTTTCAATAACATAATTTTTACCGAATTCACCAATTTGCTTCATTAACAAACAACTAAGTGTTGCCAATATGCAACCATTTTAGATCAGCTATCAACTATTATAGACGCTTAAATACATTCATAAGGGTGATAAATAGAGAACCAAGGCTTGTTTAAATATAACCTGTAAATAAACCTTGTGTATGTAAAGATAACTGTCTGACGAGTGTAACTGTGTAAGTGGTTAGAAACCTACGAAGGAAAAAGGCCGAGTCAATCAACGAAATTAACAACGCGTAATAATTAAATCTGTGACGAAAGTACCTACTGGCTGCCGTATCATACTGCCGATAAATAAAAAAAAACTGTTAGCGAATTCAATGAGGGTTTGCTTTTTCCTTGTAGAACATTTGTTTTCTGGTCTAGATGTAGAACACAACATATAGTGTGAAGGAGTTCTAGATCTGGCCCTTGACGACAAACATACGTAACAATTTCGCATTTTTGTAGGATGTAAATATTTACCTGCATCATGTCTTGACCATTAAAATTTTCAGCAGGCAGTTATGTTGACGATCCTCCAACCTCAAAAAGTCGTGTACTGAGACGGAACTTGCAATACAGTGTACCAAAATTCTTAATCGTTTAGAAACGTGCATAGTATTTTTTCTTTGCTTTTATTGTCGTAATTATTAATTATTAGTTATAGATTAGTAATAATAGTTTTTGTGACAACAACTCATTTCAATTTTATAAGTCAATTTATTTGTTTACAACCTTACTCTGTTGAAATAGCTAAATAAGACGGCTCGAATATTCGAAGCCAAAGCTCTTTGTATTGCGTATCTCGTTGTAATCTCACAGACAGACATTATTGTAGGTTCAATAAATGACGTACACAATGATCAGGCATGATGTAGTGTGTACAATGCTTTATAGTCTAAAATGCTCGTATATTAGCCCCTTAATACAAATACAATTAATCGAAATCTGCGTCTACTGAATACCTTCAGCGTTCCACTATAAAATCTGCATTAATTTAGTAAATAATGTAAAGTAAGCACTTGACAGGGAGTCTATGGCACTTTAAAGCTATTTTGGCTTGTGCTGTCCTGCAGTAAATTACGATAGGTTCAATGATTAAGTTTTGATGGCTACTAATTTTCTCTCAACATCAATTTTTGGGTCGTCCAGGAAAAGTTTGGCAAGATTAAACGAATTCTAGAACATTCGTGTTTCTTAAGAACGGACAAGGTCAACTGTTTGTGTTCTTGGGTGACACACAAACGGGGCTCGAGGTACAATTTAACTGGTTGCACGGAGTTAAAGAATGTCCAGTTCATGGTTTATACAGAAGCTGCAGTTACTTTGAATACACGAAGGTAACCTTAGTCGAATTAACAGACACTAAAAACGTAATCCCGCAGTACTTGAAAGGCGCTAGAATTGCAAGTGTAAGGGATATGCGCGCCGCATACATGATGCACCAGTAAGCATTTATTGTAGGTAGAGACGCTATAATAAGCCTAGTTTCTGCCGAACTGGTTAAGTTGACATCTACCGATGCCATCGGGACGGTCATGGAGGTCACTCATTGTACAGTTTCTTTTGTGGGATGGTACCAGGGTTCGTGTACTTCACTTTTAGGAAGCTTGTCAAAGAATATGGGCTCTGAGCTTTAAGAGCGAAGGCAGCGATAGGTCAGGCACAGGAGAGAGCTCAGAGGATACCAATGCAGGTCAGTGAGTCAATAAAGCAGGAAATAAACAAGTATAACGAAAACTTATTGAGGCAATAGAAGCATCGAAGCGGCTTTCAGTTATGGTAATGGTAAGGAAAAAAGACTTTGGAATCTGATCATGCGTGAATGCAAGGCAAATGTATGGATCTATTTTTCTGTATTCTATCTAGAGGATCTGGTGGTAGAGCTTCAAGGTAGCAGATTATTTTTGAACTTAGGTGTTACCGCACCATACTCCAAAAGTCGACCTAGCAGCAACGAATAAAAATATCACAGCATTTGTTTCACTGTATGGTCTTTTTCGCTACAAACGATTTTCTTTTGAGCTTACTCCGGTAGCACTGGCATTTCAACAAATGATGAAAGTTTTTTTTCAGAAATCTAGGCCATGTAGCTATGTACTACGACATCGTCTCGATTTTCAGCTAGCTGACGGCGTAAGGCGAGCTTGATGCCCGCTTAGGACGAGTATTTGAGTGTATACGAAGTATGCAGCAATCGGCGTTGACAAAGTATCAAAGTTGGGCTAGGTGGCATGACACTATCTGTTAGCAATTTGGAAGCCAATGGGGCATTGATGCTTACGTCAATAGGTAAATTAGTTAACTAGAGTTTGAAACGATTCATTTCCACATGTGATTATGTATCGAATGCTTATCAAACTTCGTAGTCATACCCATGTTAATCATAGTAAAGAAAGTTAGGAGAAAGAAAAGGTAGAAACATAATGGCTGTCAAAAAGCTATGAATTACTTTATAAATGATACCTAAAAAATACAAAAAAAAAACATTGAAAGGAAAAATCTGAGATATGGATGCAGAACCGTTGGCAGTATCTGGCCTTGGCAGACCTGGTTGGCAGTAGTTGCCGCCGACAGAAACAACAGATGGTCCAGCTGTTAGATCTGCGGGAGGAGTCACCGTTTAGTGGATCATGTCTGAAGAAGTAACTGTAATAGACCATATGATATAGTAACTACAAGCAATAATAAATAACTCTGTGTAAACTACTATTGATGGGTAATTTACGGTCGCTGTTAATTAATGACAATTTATCTGAGACCAAAGGAGTCTTAATGAAAAAAGAAGGAACTCTAAAAAAGCTAGACGCCCGTGCATTACAGGGTGCTCACGAAAGTACCAACTAGGAAGTAGTGCAAACGAATTAAAGGCGGAGACAAAAAAAATGCATACATTCGTCGACAGGGCCACAATTATTGAGATAAATAATGAAGTTACGATAAATTACTGGAAACTGTATTCAATGTTGTAATATATATTATTCTTGATGTTCTCTTTTCACTAACCATAGAAGTGTATTTATGGTACTCTATTGTACTATCCTTTGTGACAGGTTAAAAATAAATCATAATCTGCTCAAGACGACGACAGCCCGGCTTTTTCAAACTTAATTGTACCAAATGCTTATGATTATAATATCAGTTTAACGATGTGTACGCTTGATACGCTATGTTCACACATAGGCCGTGTTTTAGTTAGACATTAATACACGCTATCTAACATGCATTGCTATCTGAATTTGTTACTTTTCCCACCTCTACAATGACTTAGATTTCGTAGTAGTTACTCGTCGGTTTTAGTCGGTTCAATAGGGGCGAGGCAGTCGCTACTTGCCGAATTTTTAGTTTATATCTTATTGTCTTGTTTTTAAAGAATCCAGAAGTAATTAGAGCATGTTGATGGGACATTTGCAGTGACGGATATAGGAGAAACGTCATCAGCATCAGAAAAACAATGTAATGAATATGGAATGACAAAATAACTGCAAGTAAGACAACGTAACGCTTGCCTTTGGTCAAGCGTGTCAACAGTAAACTGAAAATTATACGAAATGAACTTTTCTCCAGCCATTTATGGCAGGTGAAGGAGGGCAAAGCCCGCGAGTCAAGTCTGATGTTCCATTAACAACTGATATGATTAACGCTTACATTTCCTAAACTGCTTTTGCTTTGGCTTAGCTTCTTCCACGATTGTATGCACTAAAGTCGCACACCACAGCCAAAATATACTTCGCGATTTCAGTTAATCTTGACCAATCGTTAACCAAGATGTGTGCCAATCTGGACAAGTTTTTACGTTAAAAAGCTTCTTGTAAAGTTTCCTTTCATGTAAGAACAATCACACTCTAAATGATCTAATATTAGCCACCGAATGCCTATGTAACGTTTTTACCGTAATACGAATGTCCAATTATAAGAAATCGATTTCATTTAATCCTTTGGTTTTGTTGGACGCATCGAATTATGTAACCCTTTCCGCATCTTCGCAGCCGCCCTCTCTACGTAGACCCGTTAACAAACAGCCAACTGCATTCAATGGGAATTCGTTCATGCGTTTAAAGGCCTGTGAAAGATGGTGGCTCAGTAAAGATGGCTTGCCAATGAGATTACTATTATCGTGAGTGGTTAAGGAAACATCACTGTTGCAACAGTCACCATTGGTTCAATTGCCCACAGAAGCATGTCTGTTATGTCCATTGATTATCACGATAAAACGGCGACTTCCAGAGGAAAACAATAGCAGACGAAAGAGGCGGATTCAATAGTGTTCGACAAGTCACTTAGTTCACATTATAATCTTGGTTGCGGCCATGCCGCTATTACTCGGTACCTACTGTCTATTTGAAGTCGTTAGTCAGTCAGTGAGCGAGTGGTTGCCTGCATGACTGTGTACGAGTGTGTGAGCAAGTCGGAGAGCCTACCAAAGTTGACTGGTTCGCTGCTATTACAACTGTATTGTTTCTGCTGGATCGCTGCGGGTGTTACCTCATACTATTTAATACTGTGTTAGTAATAATGTGTCAGTGCTTAATATTTGTTTCGCTCCAATCTGTGATGTTGTGACAGTGGAAAAGAGAGTGTTAAACAGTGTTCCTGTATGTATATATACTATACATCATTACTTTTAGTATCCGTGTCTTATACTGCCATTGAGTGTACCGCTGTAGATCTGTCTGTAACTCCGGTGCAGTGTAGTGCTCTTCAGGAACTGTTTACAGAACTGTTTACAAATGGATAATCGTTAACTGTGTGAACTACTGCCGATCAAAACCCTTGAGAGAAAGCCGTGGCGACTCATGCCAGCTATGGACATCGAGGAGCAAAGTGAAGATCTCGAAGGTATTGAAGAACCTCAAGAGCAGGAGCAGCCTGACAAATACGGTTTTTTTGGTTCGCAACATGCGACCACCGATGTCAGGTTCGTATTCTATTACAGAAACCCCATTATAGCAAGCAATTGAATAGCTAAGTGCTAATAGCCTAAAACGGAACAAGTGGTGTAAATATGGAATGGGTTAATTAACAACAAGCAGCCTTGATTCAAGCGCAAACAACCGAAATCCAAGCTTGCCATGCGTGTTATAGTGGCACAAAGTTAGTCCGACTTCGGACAGACTTGAAATTTCAGGTCGGTGAAGATTGCATTAGCGGGAATAGAAATAGATAAGTCAGTATAATCAGCGTAAGACACGAAGAGTAATTTAATAGCGGAGTAGTATTGCTAAGAAGCTACGCGATTTGATCAGGCAGTTGCAGGGGGTAGCACTTCCGAGTAGGAATGACTTCTGCCGCTGCCGCCGCCGTTAGCAAATGTCAGCTGATCGTGGCAGAGGAAGAGCAGGTCCGTTCGGACTTGTTTATTGGGTGGCGGTACTACCATTCACTGTCTAAGTATCCCTGATAGCAATTAAATTAACACTGTGGACATATCAGTGTCACCAATCGACTCTGTCCACAGCTGGTCCATCACCTGTTATTATTTTGAGAAGCCTTAATAAAGCCTGTTAACAGCTGCAGATGTCCATCATCAATGGCGATGAGAGCTGGCTGTAATTGTGTTCGCTCTGAGCAGTTTATCGACTGTAGCATGTCTCGAAATCTCGGTTTGTAAAGGAACAGAGTTGGATGAAATGAGATGTAGTTTGTTGCTGCTTGAAATTCACACATGTAGAGAAAAGCAAATAGTTAGAAAACTATGTTCGTCAAGAAAATCCCAAGGGTTTAGATGTTGGGAGAAGGGTAAACGTTGTTGATGGAAATTGCCAACAATAACGATTTGAGCTAAATCCGGTTCGCCATACGTTTCGCGGGTTTATCGTGGTTGATCCACCACTGATCTGTTGCTTCGCTGCAATCTATTCTTTGGTCTATACTTCATATGGCTCTCGTGATTTTTCTTACAGATTCAGCTTGGCATTGCTGTGAAATTACCGAGATCAACTTCAGGTGATTTTGTGATCTCTTTTACTTGCAGCTAGACTTTCTACAAAGAAAGGCTGTCTAGAAGTACTTTACTGACTGTGCACGCTCATATCATAGCCACGATGCTAAATGATGAAGTTGGTTCAACACGGTATTTTCGCAGAGTGACCAGTGTCCTTCGAATGCCAACGTACTGAAACTGAATTTTTTTCTTGTGGTATGCAGGCCGTATTCACCTTACACGTCGGTTACTTGTGGTTGTTTTGTGATACTGTGTACGTCGTTCATTTATAAATTCGAGTTTGGACGCTATATGATATATAACTCTAAGAGTCCATGAGTAAAGCTTGATCTTAATTCAGTCAAGCAGTCAGCTTTAATGTAGGTTAGATTTTTTCAGAATCTAATTAAATGGCAATACGAATTGGTAATCGAATTTTGTTTAAGATTAGCAGACTTTCTCTTAATTAAAATATCTAAAATAGAGTATCAAACCAAATGTAAGCAGTTCAACTCCTTGCAGCGTGTTTCGTACATTGTACGCTAAAAAAAAACTTGAAGTCTTGTTGCTGCTTTAGCGCGCACTATTAACGCAAGTTATGTTCGAAATGTTGAAGCGCACTTTGGACATGGACAGCCTTGTGTACTGTTCCACTGATTAAGTGACTGTTTTGGTACGGGCCTCCAGTATGGTACTGTTGTTTTCCGGAATGTAAATGGTCATGCTGCATTGGGTATTTTTTGTTGTGAGATACAAATCTATATTGATTGCGTTATTAGGCCAATAAAGCGGCCTGGTTAAATTCATGATTAGGCAAGCAATTTTTCCTCTCCAGCACAGTGTCGTATAAAAGCGGTTCAGACGGGCAAGCAAAACAGGCAAAATACATGTGTATTATCATCATTAAGATAGGTGTTACCAATTTAAATGTTGCGTATTTTAAGTTGGTGTTCGTTTCCTTGTCGGAGTCAATTCCTAACAAGAACTTGCAGAATACTCCATTGGGGTAGACAAACGTCTCTACCACCCGAAAATCATTCTAATCGTGTCATATATATCGTTTAACCTTCGGCGAAAGCTTGATAGTTTTGCAGACAGTGCCACTGATCGTGTGTTACCGTTTTTAAGTTAAGCTCTTTAGTGTTAGGTCTCCCTATTATTACGTTCAACTTCTGAAACTATGATAGAAAAAGGTAGCATCGTTAACATAAGGCATGATTTATAGTAACATACGGTCTACCAGAATGTGTCAAAATCAGTTTTACTTAATCAACTTATTCAGTCATCTTAATCAGTGGACGCTTATAGTGAACGACAGAGGCTGTCTCTGTTCCCGTCATCTAAAAGTTAGATAATGTCAATCGAATGAAAGATCTGAGCAATGCAGGCGTCTCACAAAGAGAACCTAAATTGATCTAATTTCGCAGCCTGCACGTATTATTTTAGCAGTGTTTGTTCTTTGAAGGATATGTATCTTTGCCTTGGCGGAATGAAACAGTACTGTGTTTGGCATAAAATACAACAATATTTTCGCTCATGCATTGGGTCATTAATGGTCCATGCTTTTCAAAATTATTCTCAAGTTATCAAGCAATTTCAAACTAATATACGAGCAGTAGTTGAATTTAACTATGGTAAGTTCAAATTCCCGCTTGTGTAACGTACGTGGGTTTGGCCCGTAAATGTTTTTACCGTTTCGTCTTCTGTGATCCACGTGATCTACTCTAAAAGTTATCAGTGCTGGTGGCGGAGTTACTCAAACAGCGCAGGGGAACGACAGGACTCAGGTACATCGTGGGTACAGACTTAGTGTCCTTAGAAGTAGATGGAATACTTTTATATATATATTAATATCCGCTTGAGGACAAGCGGCTGCGGCTGAAACAATATTTAGCAGCATCGGTGATACGTCAAGCAGGCTGTCATTACCGCCGTAATTTTATATAGCCATTTACGTATCCTTTTTGCAAACAAGATAAGCAAACGTATTTAATTGCTAAAAAAATGTTGATTATGTCATTACTATGTAAGCCGGGTTGTTTTGTAAAAATGTGCGACGCAGAACTTACCCTACGCTAGGCAGTAGCTGTCGACACATTTATGTGCCTAAAAAACACCTGTGACTTAGTTAAAAGGATAATGGGTAAATTTTTCAAAGTCAATCTACTTTGATAAAATAAGTCTGTCCTGATCTCAAAGTTATGTAAAAGAGGTGATAAATGTATGAAATAGTATGGTAGTACGGTATCTAAAAGGATGCCAAGTTTCGTTTACCAATAGTTACATTTCGTTGAACGTATAATTGACATGCAGAACAGCAGGATATGATTCATCAGCAGATTTGTCATTACCCTTAACATTTTTATCATAAGACTTTTGTCACTAGTCAGTTTTTCAATAAACGTTATGGTTGAAGTACCTTCACAATGTACTATCTGCATAAAGATAAGGCAAAAAGCCCTTTTTAGTAATATTCTTTCACTGCCATCTAATCCCCTTCTGTTAGGTTTTCTCCGAGTGTTCTCGTTATACTACTAACTATAGCCCAAGCTACTGTAAAACAATAGTTGATGCAAGGGAGATTTTTATTTAATTTTGCAAAGGTAGATAGTGCAGCACTTGGATTAAATTTTTGCAGATGATCTTATGATAAGATCTGTGTTTCTCGGTTTATCGTTTCAAGCACAGTAATATCAATGTTAGTGAAATTATTATGTACCATGTCATGACAGATACTGCGCATCAACCCTTAAACTATTTAATTTCGATTGGTCGGGTACCGCTTAGGAATGGCCGAGTTCATCATCTCCAATTTACTATAATATTGTCTGCGTTATGATTCAAGAACTAACAGTAATTGCTCATAGTAGAACATAAACATTAAACAAGTAGAAGAATAACGTAAGATATTTAGAGTAGTTAACAGTAAATACAACTTATCATTATCTACAGCAGATGATAGTAAATGTTCAGAGTAAGTGAACGAATGACTGGAGAAGCTTTTGGACTACAAACTGGCAAGGATAAATTAGCACAAAAGCCCTGTAATTATAGTTGGCACATTGGTGGGCGTCATCAAGCCATAGAATGTACCACTGCTATTTTTCATCGCCATGATTTTTCAATGTCGACTGGGTTACAGCGTAATTAATAAATCAGAGACAAGATTCTCAATTATCAATTTCTACACGCTGATTTGTCAAGTTAGACAGTCGGCACAGTGGATTCGCGCGATCACAAAAGCTCGGTCCTCACGAATCATGTATGAACTATTAATACAGAATTAAATAGTGTCCTGAATTATACAATGATTGCATGCAGTTTTTAATAAGATTTATTTCTTTATCTAATTGTAAAGCACATTTTGTTGTTGCTTTTTCTAGTAGTACTTCTCGTGTTAGGGCTGCCTTGTGAACGATCTGTGCCACATCAACTGAATCAACAACTGGACGCTAGTCTTCACGCCTACAAGTTTTACCATCGTGAATAGTGACAAAAGGAGAGTCATGCTTATGATAAAAGAAACTTTAGCTAATAAAACTGTTTTTTAAAAGCGACTATTGGGAATCCAATTTTTTGCTCCATTTGTTCGAAAGCTTATTTATTTCGAATATTAAGGACGTTGAGTGAAATATTTTTTTATATATGGAGTTTCTTAAATATGGGTTTGGTATTTAAATGAGTGTGATGTAAGAAGCTAGGTAACACTGATTGACTGTACACCACGGAAAAAATTATAGTTCGTAAAAATCTGAACCGGCCTTGCAGATCGGGTATGACTATCAGGTATGACAGTTGCGAGTAAGCTACGGCCATTGCAGATCCTTTTCTATAAACAGCATTGACTACTCTCACATATATGGTCGTATTGATCGCGGTTCGTTTAAAGACCGAAACGGCAAGATAATGTAATAGTTGAAGCTATACGGCTAAAAATGTCTATATATATATATATATTTGTTTGGATCCATAATGGTCTCAGATGGCCGAGCACCAGTTTCAATCGTTTGTCTAGTGTAGGATACACATTCGTACTTGAATCAGTATATGTGGAAATTCATCTTAATCTTTAGCAAATAGCATTTTTTGTGAAAAGCAGATCTTCAACTTTTCGCCTCTTTCTCGTCATATTTCTGATATGAGTATAAGACACGGCTTTATTTGAATTTCATAGTGAAGCTTGTTTATACTAAAACTCAAAATCTGGAAAGATGGAAGGAAATGCAAATTGTCTTTCGACGTTCTTAGCGCCGCTTGGTATGTTTGCTGGTCTAAGTGTCCTATAAGTCACCGCCGAATGAGCAAGTATCACACAAAGTATAATGGCGAAAATTCGCTCAAGGAGAAACGCGGCGGTTTCTTTGCAAACGATGACATTAAACAGTTTGACATTTACTTCTTTTTCCACTGGAGTCAATTTGATTTTTTTCTTTTCGCGACTAATACATGTTGACGTGAAAAACATTTCGCTAATTTTCAGCTTGTGTATCTTATGTGAACTGTATGTCTTTGATAATAGAACTTCTTGTTTAATTTCGAAGATTTTTATGATTACGTCGTAAAATATGAAAATTGGTCACATAGGATCTTTTGTTCAGCAGACATTGTAAAGATGTGTGTAAAAAAAAAGCTATGGTGGATTATTTTTAGGGCAAGATGTGCAGTTGTTTACACACTTGTTCTGTTGTATGTAGCAGTTGAACCAATAAAAGGCCTTGCAGATTAAAGGAATCAAACCGTTAAAATTGCCTTCTGTGGCTGCTATAAAAAATGCATACCCTAATAATTCCCCAGCTTAACAATTTCCCTTTTAATAACTAGTCTTATCACAACTCTAACAAGTCAGTCTAATGATTACTATATTTCTGGTATGTGTGCTTAATATTCCAGGAACCTGGTCAGTAAGCTACCACCAGAGGTAATCCGACGGCGTGAGCTAAAATGGCGCCACATGTTAGAAAACTGGGATTTGTTCACTTCGAAGAAGTTTTCCAAGGTGATGATCAGTTATTTATGCAGGATTGGAGGTAGAGCAGAATCCTTTTTAGATGGGAATTTCTTAAGGATCTGTAAGTGGTTATCAAAGTGCATGTAAAGTCGTCCACGCTAATTTTTTTAGTGTTACGTGAGAAATGATATTGGCTCTCGTAAGGTTTAAGTCATCGAAAATTGAATTTTATATATATTCCTGCGTCTTGTCTAGGTTCGAGATCGCTGTCGAAAAGGCATTCCTTCTTCTATGCGCATGAGTGCGTGGCAGTATCTTTGTGGAGGACAATTTCGGAAAGAAAAACGGAAGGCGAGTGAAGCTTTTAACAGTGGTTCTGGTACAACTTTAGAACTAAAAGATCACCGTACTCCTTTCATTTTGTTTTTTGTGACCTCTAGCGAATTTTTCATCTGTCATGATTTGACCTTGATTCACCTTGAGCTAGTTGTTTACCCAGTGGCTTGCTTATTGGTTGTAGTATTTAAATAGCGTTTTGTTATGTATATCTTTTCAACTTGACTGCTAAATTTTGTCAGAAATGTTATCGAAATTTACAACCTTTCTTTTCTATATATGCATTTAGTATGACCTAGAGAAAACCTTATATATTTGATTTCGTCGTGTATAAGCGTCTATTTGTTGTGTGCGGCTACTTATGATGTGTTACCTAATTTAAAGAGAAAAATGGTTTTCAGGGCTTATTCGAGCAACTGGATGCTCAGAGCGGGGATCCTAGTCACGTGGAAGACATTCGAAAAGATTTGCATCGACAATTTCCGCAGCACGAGATCTTTATGAAAAAGGTGTGAGCTGGCAACATTGTTTTCTTTGTTACATTGGTTTTGTTATGTTTATGTAAAGCTTCACTGTACACATGTTGTTACGTGAAAGGATACGTGCAAAATAATTCAATTCTATGAATAAATGTTGTCTCCAGCAGAGATCCCTAGACAACGATTTTCTCTAAGGGGCCATGTTTAAAAAAATATAGCTTCCTTAGAAAGGCTGCCTTTATGTGGATGGTGTATTTTTAAATGTTCCATTTTCAGGAGAATCTCGGCCAGCAGGAATTGTTTCGGCTACTGAAAGCATACTCAATTTTGAGGCCTGAAGTCGGTGAGCACTGGAATCGTGTTTTCTCTTTTTTATTTTGTTCTTCCGCTATTAAATCTTAAGTAAAATAGTTGCCGGCCTGTAAAACTACTACGATTCACCTAGGCAGAAGATGGTTAGTTTAATGTCAATTTTTAATAATACAATTACTATACCTCAATCTAATTTCTTAATGAAGATCTACTACCTAGTTGAAAAAGTGCAGAGTTAGGCTGTCCTTAAATATGACGTAGAAAACTAATGTTTTGGTAAGGCAATCATTACGATTCAGTGTACACTGTTGATTTTACTACATCTTTATTTTTCAGGGTACTGTCAGGCGCAAGCCCCGGTAGCGTCTCTCCTTTTGATGCACATGCCAACCGAGGACGCTTTTTTCTCCTTTGTCGAAATATGCGATAAGTACCTCAATGGATATTACAGTCCGGGCCTGGCAAGTTGAAAGGCAGCTTTATTATGTCTTTATTCTGTGCGATTGATTGGTTCTGAAATTTTCTTCGAAAAATCGAATCAAATCCAAGGCTACTTAATTTCTTTTTTGGCTTCACTTCAAATTCAAGAACCTTTTCTGTCGGGTTGTGCAGCCACTAGACATAGTTATAACAAATTTCTCGGCTTAGTTAGCGATGTATTTATTTATTTATCTATGTTTACGGTTTCAGGAAACCATCCAACTAGATGGTCTAATCCTCTTTGGGCTTCTTAGGAAATTTTCACCACAAGCATATCATCAGCTCACAAAACTTGAAGTGAGTTTCGAAATGTTTACATCTATATAATACATGTATAAAATGCATCTGACTAGTTTTGTTGTTTCCAACGCAACGCTATTTTTTACTTTTTGATTGTTCTTATTTGGCATCAAACATTAGCTCACTGCAAATATATATGGTTTAAAAAAATTGACTTTTTTCAAATGCTGCTAATTATGCAACGATATCTGAGTGAAGATTTCCTAACCTGTTTAACTTTTCTTTAACAGGTGGGTCCGATGCTTGTTATGACGGAGTGGTTCCTCTGTGTATTCACGCGAACTTTACCATGGCCTTGTGTGCTACGAGTTTTTGACATGTTCCTTTGTGAAGGTAGCTTTTATCACATTTTGTTTCATGCTGTTACCCTTCCACATGCATAGAAATAGCTCGACTGCCTTCGCGATTTTCCCCGATGCATACAACAGTGACGTGCAATACATCAACTATGATATAATATTACATAGCATTTGAAACACAAACTTGGACGCTAATGATTACCGAACCCGGTTTTCATCGAGCACAGACGGAAAGGAAGATACAAATTTATTTAAATAAGAGCCCTTCTTTCAGGTATCCGGGTGCTGTTCAAAGTTGGCGTGGTGCTAATCGACTCTACACTTGGATCACATTCGATTAGCAAAGTGAGTCGTTTAAGGGCAGAGTGATGGTAGCCTTTAGCTGTCAGCATAACTGTCAGTTCTTACAATTCATTGCGCAATGTTGTGCGGAACTATTTCGATCAAAAATACAACCTCTACATTGGAGAAAACCACTAATAATCTCAAAGTGTACTTTTGTAAAATACGCTGACGTACTTATAAAGAAATCACTAATCACTAGTGAGCACATTCTGGCATGATTAGCTTCGCTTCGCTTTAACCAAAGTACTACCACCAAAATGATTGGGTTACAGGCGGAACTGCGCAAGCGTTATCCCTCCGCGTTTGAACTACTTGAGTGTCTAAAACATGCAGGTGACAACCTTGAAGAGGATGCGTTCATTCAGCAGGTAATAATTATTCTGAGGGACAGTTTGCTAGAGACTAAATTATTTAATCATCAAAAAGGCTAGAACACGGATTACCTGGGTCAATACAAATGCGCTAAATGCTGTTTGTTTTTTTGTTTGCACCCGTTCATCAATTTGCAGGTTGTTGACCTAGAGTTAAAGCGTGAAGATCTTGTTCGCGAGCATGAAAGACAAATTGCCAAAAAAGAGAAGGTACTTGGAAACAATAATCTACCGACTGATCCTATAGTTACTTTTTGTCTATGACTGAGTATGGGAGTCCCGCTAACACACGGAGGAAGTCGATGTTCCACTTTCATGCCTTGAACAAGTGTGTTGGACATACAACTGTGTTTGCTATTCACTGATATAATTTACTCAATTCTTAAAAATTAATTACTGAAACAATAATGATATTTTAGAAGCGGTTTGTTCTACTATGGCTTCGAACTTTCAAATATTATTTACCGTGATTAGAGGTGCTAAGGACAAACTTGTCAATTTAGTGAGACAAAAATAGCAATTATAACGTATGAAATTTCGTATCAGCTTGTGTGTCATAAGTGAGAGCCTCTGGATACGACCCTTAAAGAACTGTTATTGCGGTTTCAGGAGGAGCGTGAGCGACAAAAGAAAGCCCTAAAGGCAAAGCGTAGCTAGAATAAGGCTCCGCGCGATAAAGCGCATTTACTTGGCGAAAACTATTCTTCAACAATCGTACCGTCGCAGTTTGTTCGATACTTAGCTCCTGTACAGAAACAAGATGGCAAGCAAAGTCAAGCATTTGTAAAACAGGGAGCTCGACTTTCATTCCCATGGCGGTGGTTTCGCGGCTTGGGCGTCCGGGACAATCGGACTCGTCCAGCAGAAAAGTGACATGTGAACTTGACGAGTCCGAAATAGACGACGCATACAAGGAAGAATCAGAATCACTTACAGGTCGTTGAAGATAACGAAGATTATTGACTTGCGAGGAATCCTGGGGAAAAGAGCGAACGTACAGTAAAGGTGTCGACTAGAAATCGAAAGGCACTTTACGGTACACAAGTGACTGACCATATGGGACTAAGTAATCTATACATATGAAAAAAATGAGGCTTATAAGTGTCTATTCAATACTGTCGGTGGAGCAAAATAGTTAAGAGCTGAAGTCAGCTCGACATGATAACGTAATGTCTTAACTCACCAAATTGTTGTTAATATCTATTAAAGCAATGAGGAAAGAAGCGGGTCGAGAATATATACATACATATACCTAGTACAAGTACCTATCAGAAATCGCTAAACTGTTATGTCGTCTGTAGACAGCAACAGTGAAGAAAAGCGCCAAAGAAAAACACCAGTAAATTTGCCTAGAATGCCTCTATACAACTGCATTTCCATTAAGACATTCTTCACATAAAAAAAACTGACGTCGCTGTAACTTGCCATAGATCCATTTAACTCGATTACAGTTTTTCCAAAATTTCTCAGAAGGAATATTAAATGCGAAAGTGAAATGCGCCCCTTCGATGCGTTTGTACTGCTGGTGCTGTTGCTGTTGCTGTGACAAATTGAGCCAATATATCTGTGCTCTGATAACAGAGGCTGTGTGAATACGCTTGAGAAATTTTTTACATTATAGATAGACAAAGCCTAAAAATATATATTCTGGAATCGTGAAATGTAAAATTGCATTACAGATAGCAGGAAGAAAGAGGTCGCTTAGACGCTAGCTGAACTACGTGGTATATGAATTTTGAACAAAATATAGGAATATATGCCCGGTAGGCCACTACATTGCTGTCTCTCCTCGCAGTGAGAGACTTGCGAATGTTGTCTACTAGAATAGGATACACAGCTTCTTACGTTTTCAGATTCGAAAAGGATTGCAGTGGCGACCCTTATTCGAAATTACCATCGTATCATATCGTATGATTTATCTTTGTTAACAGCCTACTTAATAACCAAGGGTTACAAACTATCGCAATCTGTTTATGTACATTATAGCAAAAAATCCTATCACTCTATGAGATACGTTGATATTTTGACCAAGGAAACAAATCGTACGTTTTTAATCGTCCTACGTTTGGAATGGTCTATATAGACTAGGAGACACTTCCACAATGCACACTTGTAGTGACCTTTTCTTCTAGTATAGTCGCTAGCCAAAATAGTTTAGAATTAGTAATAGCTTAGCGTAGTGTAAGAGCTCTATTTAAAAGCCAGGCCACTGGTATCATTTTTTATTAGCATTAGTTACTCTTCACCACAGATATGTATTTACTACGCGCACTCTGCAATTGGCAGTATAGGAATGTCACTGATTTCGTTTCGGCATTACTTCAGACACAAGAAACCCGATTTTGGAAACGCCTCCTCCCCTCTTAATAAGAGCCCACCATCTAGTTCCCAATCATTATTATAATTGAGCGATCATCACCTCCTGCACCGCCGCTTGAGATTTGTGGACATGATCACATTGGTCCACTTTATACATAGAGGTAAAGTGATTACTGGGCACTGAGGTATAATTAGCCATCCACGAAAGATCGGAAATGCCATTTCATAAAAGCCTAGGCGCAGTTGACAGAAAGCCCCATTAACTGTGTGTGCCTGGCTATCACGGAGGCGGACTATATAAAAAAATAAGTATTATTAATTGCAATTACAATACTCGTGTGTGGCACGAAGTACATTCGTTATCTTTTTATTTTGTCAGTAATTGTTTACAATCTCATTAGTAGCAATATTAGAGAAAGCGAAGATTAATGAAAAGGGTTTGTATTAGTTCAATTGGTTAGCACACGTTTATTTTTCACAGGATTACTACTCTGATGGTTTTTACCATCAACATATAATTGTTATTGTGTATATTTACTTATGTATTAACGATATGCTCAGTTTTGTTTTGGTGAACTTCAGGGACCAATGATGTATTATTTATATCTTTAGATACATTTGTTTGAATACAAAGTCATGATGATTCTGCTACTATATTATTGATATAGTTTTCCCACTGTGTAATACTGCTACGTATATACATTCTTGCGTATAATTCAACATTGGTAATTTAGAATCAAAAAATCGAAGTCAAGGCAACCCCACGCACACACGAAGCATTATATATATAGAAGCTATAGCTACGAACTTCTTTCATTTCAAATAAAGTGAAAAAAATCCCATTGTAGAAATAGTGCAGTAAAACAGGAAGAGTTCGCTTGCAGTTTGGTGCTATTATATATCTCAGCACCCTGGTCCTTCAATAGAAGAGGCTGTTTCTTCTTACTTCCTTACGTGTATACGTGGGACTGTCATGAGACTTCGATTTATCCCATCAAAGACTATAATTCTTTAATTGTAATATTATATGTTCGAAATATGTAGGTGCTGATACTTCGACGCGCCGTAAATGAAACCTGATAAGGTTGAGCTTCAGCTCAACCTTATCAGGTTGATTAAGGTTACCAGATATGCGTTGGTATTTGTTTTATTTGAAGTTTGCTGGTGTTACGCCTTGCTGTTATGTTGTTGAATGCTAAATGTCCTTCCGCGATGGGCTCGCTGTTTTTATTTTATCAAAAAATAAGCACACAGATCACAGTGAATGCATAAGTGTGATGTTTTGTTAATGAGCGTGAAGAAGATCGCGATGAATTCTGTTTTTGTGTGCAAAAAATGGTGACCAGTATATGATAATAATATACGAACGAAAGAGAAATGGAGATCGAACTACACTTCTACTTGTACTTTCAGCAAACGAAATAATGACAACAGTATTATTAACATATAAAAGTGTGGGTACTAAATAATTATATGTATCGATTAGATATAAAACTGGGTCTCGGCAAGAAATGCACGAGTACTTCCAAAACATCTGGTATTTTTACCAAGTATTATATAGGTACATTCGTTTACGCAGCCTAAAACTACGGACTGAAATAAGCTACCGTGCCCCTCCCAAAAAACATTTCACCTATGAATAAATCGAAAAATGTTTACTCGCTTTGTACAATACGCAATGCAAACACAAAGAGGCGGTCTGCTAAAGCTGAATTTTAGAGAAAGAAATAAACGTATGAGTGACATGTTCTATAAACGATGTAGCCATTACTAATTCAACGTGCTGTTGTCGACCCGCTTTTATTTAAGCTTCTCCGGATTTCGAAATCGACAAAATGAAGGCTGCCCAGATTACAGTTGTCGCCTTCGTTCAATGGATTGGACCGTTTTTGTTACTTTAATGTGTCTCCCCTTTGTTGCTCCTTCCTCAAATGTTAATGGATAATTCGTCATAACTTGGAACCACCACTGTGGATCAAGGAAGGATTTCGCCGCCACCGATGCAACTATATTTTGTAATTACTGCATTTTACGATAATGAAAGCCAAATGTTCCCGATTGAAAGCTAAACGCGCAATATACTCGCTGACGCCCAAACCGGCCTCTTCTCTACAACATCCTCAGTTTTGAATACCATTGTTGACTAATACCGAAAGTTACACCGACCTAAGAATTTGTGCGTAAAATTTAGAAAGCTCGATGATTGTAGGTGCTGGTTTCTTGGCTATAAGATATTCGCCTCCAATATGTCGCTGTTGTCCGTGCACTGAGACAGATTATGTCCAAGGATTCAGCATCAATTGTTTCACACACGATCTCCGCAGCGCCAAATAGTATGGATCCTAGCTTTACACTATTGAATTTGTCGTATCATCACCAGGGCCAACAAGGTAGTTATATAAAAGTAGAACTTTCCATTTTTGGGAAAGCTTTCTGTGTAGTTTTACACAAAAAAGGTCGTGTAAACTAAATGTCGATTGCAAATCCGTGGAATGTTATTGCTGTTCATCGTTCAGATACGCGGTATTTCCAGAGAATGTGTATTGAAATTGTGTGGGCGTCTGTGTCAATGCGTCTACAACAAAAATTAATAAACCTACCTAATGTTGGTTGCACCTAACAGATGTTTGGAAATTACTACTGCATAAGGTATTAATTGGCTTAATAATTATTGTCCTGTCTATAGTAAAAATCTAGAGGATGTAACACCTTTCTCTCCCATATTACAGTCGCTGATGGTAAGTCATCTTTCGTTTGTTAATATTTGTTTATGGAAAATCTTCGCTATTACAGCTAAAAACAAACGAATAAAGACTTACCGTCAGCCATACGGAAGAGGACAGCGCTGTAGGAATCAATTTAGTTAACTTTATTAATTGCCAAAAAAAGCTGCTCGGAAAAATAACGATCGTATTAGGGGTTACTACAACCATTAATTATTATATATTGTTGTTAATTAATCGAGAAGGTTTGTCGTTTGAGAACATAGTTCCACTACTTATAATATGGACTACTAACATCCCATGCTAGGAAACCATTTATGAAAAAAATTATTATATATATAAGCAAAAAATGTTACGCAAAGATCTTTTCACCGTCACGAATAAGTATGGTATAATTACCGATGATTATCTACATTATATATATATTATAATCCTCAACGCGCCTTCAATAAGCTGAATTATACTATATGTATATATGTACTGAGTTAATTCAGCTTCTTTGCTATTTTAGCATCAACGACATCCAGTATGCTCAAATGCAATGGCCCCTATAGTCCAATCTCACTCTAGCCTATATAGCTCTCAGGATGGTCGTCTACCAATTCATATCGTACCTTGCTTTGTTTGCTTCTGAAACAGATTTTGGTTTCCCCCGTTCAGTAACGAAAAGATATATTTACCAAAACCATATAGCTCAGTCTTCCATCGAGAATGCGAATTGCACTAAATTACTGACCTGGATAGATCCTAAAATATCTATTTATAGTCAAATTTGCAACATTTTCTGCTATTGCTTTAGTAACATTTTGCAGTATAACGTACTACACGAATAGTAATTGTAGTAGTAATCTCTCATTGATAGTAATCTCTGCACGTAAGCTAAATGTTAAATAAACGCGATATTGAATAATAAATGCAATATTGATGTTTCCTATAGGATAGTCGTTTCTGTTCGGTGCTGATGGTTGGTGGGCGTAAGATATAGTCGTCCATTCACTGACGTTGATCTTGGTGGGCGATACTAATACACACTGGAGCAACTTCAATGTAGCCCACGGATTCGTTTCCCACTGCTCGAATCAAAGATTGGCTTGACCCTTTTCGATGGCTAACTAACATGCTTGAGCCCCTAAACATCTCGGACGCAAAACTGAATAGGAGCCAGCATAATGATATCACAGGCGCTTATTGCCATCTTTAGCGCTCCGCGACTTTCAGAAACGGCAGATACAATATTGAGACCAATGCCCACTGGCACGTTCACATCAAACCCAGACAATACATTGTGAATTTCTATAATGCTTTACGCGTTTTCATTTTGCCTCGGTCATTCTGGTTTCTGCAGTGCAAAATAGTGCATCATCGTGTATTATATATATATATATATCGAAGTGTCACACGAAAATTGGTCGTCCTACTCCATTCTTCGCAATGTATTTGGCGGACGGTCCCTGCCATTTGACACAGAGATATACTTTGACTTTCCCGTAGAGCGTGGTGGGCCCGCTGCCGCGCACTCTGCGTAAATCCTCTCCATCGAGACATATTTGAGTGTGAGAAGTTCCCTGGTGGGCAGAGGTACATTGAGACTTTGTACGAGCTGAGTGTTCTAGTAGTTTTAATTCAGTTGCGTACACAGTCCCTTCGTTGAAGGTCATTTCCAGACTGTAGCGTGCAATTAGGCCACATTTCGAACTTATTGGAATTATTTGCTCTTCTAAAAACCGTAGTATAATACGATGCTTATTCCTGAAGATGACGTCTAGATACGCGTTCACAAGCAAACCCGGAGCATATTTTTGCACCCAGTCAATTTGAGTAAAGATTACTGATGCTTCATTGAGGAACTCAAAGAGCTCGCGAACTTCACCAGATACAAGTTGCTCTTCTCCTTCTGCTGGACTTTTTAAAAACTTCGGATTTAGCAGCACCGACACGTATTTGGAGATGTGCTCAAACTGCAGAATCAAACCAGGTGATAATCGCGTAGATTAGCTCCTTTATGTTTACCATTTTATAAAATTAAGCACGAATCTATTGCTTCGCTATTAGCTCCTTTATGTTTACCATTTTATAAAATTAAGCACGAATCTATTGCTTCGCTATTGTTTCGCATATTCTTAGCAAAACTTTTCAGTTGCTTCTATGTTATGCCTATTCCATTTCGCTCTGGATCGAAAGACTCCTATGGACGACCTAATAGATTACTACAGGAGCATAGTACCTTTTTGGCGTTGGCTTTTCCAGCTGCTCTATAAAATTGTTTATCTGCAATATAGCCGCTAACAAACCGATCATACGTATACGAAAGACAAACCTACAGACAAGCGTGCAACTCGCTCCTTGCTCTTCCATTTGTTGATATATTTTACATACCCATATAGTAGTGTTAAGCTCCGACAGGAGAATGGAGGAGAGGTGAAATCCGTATTGGCTTAAAAAGTCCCTTGCCTGCGCAATGTCCTCTTCGGCATATTCATCTCGAAAGATTTCCGCTAAATGGCGTCTGAAGGTCCCTTTCACTTGTCTATACTTCTCGCTTAAAACCTCGCCTATCTCTTGCATGTATTCAGCCGTATCTTTCCAGGTCCGTTTTCCTAACTGCAACGTACTATTCGCTGCATCCAATACATCCCGCATAAAGCGCCCGTGAATTCGACAATGAGGCCGTCGAAGTTGAATGCCGCTCCGCCAGTGACCAGCACAACATTGTCGCTGATCTGGTTTCCCTAAACAACCGCTACGTCGAAGACAGTCATTCGTTTTCTGATGTCGTTTACGACTATTTTGGAGTTTGCTCCGACGCATTTTCGATAACTCCGGTCTTGGTCTTCGAATAAATACATCTGGAACTAAATCGCGACGAGATGAGAGACATAGACGCGATCGTCGACCGCTTGGGTCGCCTATAGACCATTGTCGCTTACACGGCGTCCCGATACAGCAGTTGGGTCGAAAACACCAACTCGTTTGTCGATGCCTTCTAAAACCATTTCTAGCGTCGCTCCAAAAACTTGTCGATAATTTTGGCTTCACAAAACGACAATCTTCGAAACTCTCTAATCGGTTTAAGCGCTTTTTAATATTTGCATTGTTCCTCATTCTTCTGGCCCTAGTTGACTCCACACTAGAGTATGGACCAAGGGAAGTATAAGGTATATCAGGATGGTTGCTGATGACGTTCTAGTTCCTACGAGAAATGTTGCCAGAACATGGTATAAAGTGTAATGAATACTGTTGATTATGGTGAAATATAAACCTATTATCTAGAAAATCTGGACTTCATTTTTCAATAATTCATAAATTAGGCTTGCGACCTTTGTTGGCGCAGTCACTTTGACGCTTAAGACTTTGATTCTAAAGAGCCAGAAATTATTGGTTCAAGCTTGGCAGTGCTATAGACTTCATCAAAACCAAATATGCGTTTTAAGCAAAACAACAACTTCTGCTGTTTGTCAATAATATGTGCCAATATAGTATGGCGTACGAGTATGGCACAGAGAGAAAAACTCAGAAGTTGGAAAAGATATCTGACTCGGCATTAAGAAAATTCAAAACAAACTGTTTGCTAAGGAGACGAAATGATCATTGATAGCTTGGGAGCACGGAGAGATTATATGAAGATGGCGTTTTCCTAGGTATAAGCATATTTATTATGGCTTACGATAGTAGTAAAGAAAGATTATATCCCCGATTTTAGAAGAAGATTAATATATGGGCTTAAGAAGTTGACCAAGCTGAGAAGATCGAGCACTAATACCACATTTATAGATTTATAGATGGCTATGCGACGAAACAAGAGAATAAATCAATTGAAGAGGAAAAAAGGTTGGAACAATTATGAAATGTTTACGTCTTCACACGCGGGCCGCATCACTTTAAGAAATGATTTCATTCATCAAAAAATACATTATTAACCTTTGTACCAGCGATGAAGTATGTGTAGATATTCAAGGATTAAGCGGTTGTACGTTTTGCCCCACTTCAATCAATGTAGAGCGATAGTTGTCCGCGCTTATCGATAGGCTGATAGTTAAAGAGGTGAAAGTTCTCAATGACGCGTCATCTGAATGTTAAACTGCATCATAGGGAACTTTCACATCTTTTAGGAAACATGGAAAACATAGTTTTTGAACTTACTAGTCAATACTGAAACCTCTAAAACATATCAGTTTGGCTATTGGTATTGTATGTACATTTGTCTTTCATAGCGTCCAGGGGTTATATTGAGGAAACGATTTTTTCCGTATTAGATACAGAGTAGATTAGGGCACATCTACTTCGACGAATTCAAACCGGTGAACTACTTCATATATGAAGTTCACCGCGGACAAATTCGGCGAGGCCTTGTGCCCAAATTTTGGTGGGACACGAACTCCTTACAGTTGTCTCTTCTATTGTTAATCTTTGCATTGTTCTCAAGGTAGAACTAACATGGAAGAAAGTTAACTGGTCCTGCTGGTTCGTGAATATTTGTCAGATATTTCAATATTGGCCATAGTGACCATCTGATAACCGGCTGGTTCAATAATCGGTGCTATTAGCTACAAAGACTCCATACAACAAGGGCTATCCAAAGGGAAACTTAAACAACTCGCATTACCCAGTTGCAATCCATAGATAATGGTTATTTTCGATCATATGTAAGAAAATCATGCTTGCACGAGTTAGATAAAGAAGGTAAGAAATAATCAAGCGCTATCACGTATTACGGTTATCCGATAAGCATTACCCTTCAATGGTGTTGTCAAATCGAGTGTAACCGTATACAATTATCTCCAATATAAATAATAGCAGCTAGCCAACCGGGAGTTGAACTCAACATTAAAAGTAATTTGAGAGATTCTGATTATTTATTTCAAGTGTATAATATATAATTCTTGTAAAAGAGATTATCCGAGATCAGGTACGTGTTAGTGAAGGATCGAAATCCAGCAACAGTGGACTGCAGTGAGGTATAATGCAGCATGAACCGCCACCAGACTTCGGTTTCCCGTATTTTTTTTCCCGTAAACATTTGCGTGTTTAACGGCAATAAGGCTAGTTTGGAAACAATGTACCGTCTGAACAGTAGGTAGCATCTCTGATGGATACGGCAGACTGTTGCTTCGACGAATCTCACCCGGTGACCGGTATCATTTATGTAAGTTACCGCTGAGAGATTTTTCGGAGCATGTTACCAAGTTAATCCGTTGGTAATTCGCTCATAGAAGTTCTCATGCATTGCCCGCACGATTTCGAGAGCACAAGTAGCGCTATGGAGATACTTCAGGAGAAGTTGAAGAAGCTTTGCATGTCCAGCCAAAACACGCACGAAGAATACGTCGTTCTGAATAAACGAGAACAAATCTGCGCACCGAGTGGTGATTTGATTAGAACTATTGAAGCTAACATTTTTAGGCATACATTCTATATGGAGAAGGGTGCAACCCTATACGGAAGATGTTAGCAAACAGTGAATCAAGAAGGCTTGCTCGAAACATGCTACTGAAGGTTCAGGTACACGGTGATAACAGTATGTGCGTGTGAAGTGTTGAAGTCACTTAGATAACCAATCTTTTAGAGCAGCTTCACGTGGCGGCTGTGCATGCAAGTACAAAATAAGACGACGACGACGACGTGTCGTGGTGGCGATGATCATACGGTGGCGCTGCTCGGACGAATCTCACCCAGTGGCTTTCATACCGCATACAGAGAAGCAACTGTAGAGAGATTCGCCGGAGCATTGCGTCAGACACTGTCAAATCAGGAAGCTTAAAAGAGGGAAGGAGCTATGTTTGAATTTGGTGTCTATGCTAGGCGATCTGACCGCTGCGAGCTCAATTCGCGCATGGACGAGCGAAACCGGTGAATTACCAGTAATTGTTGAGAATCCACCAAGCATTCGTTCGCCTATTCGAGGAACCTGCTTTTGGATCTAACCAGCGTCGATTCAGGACACGGATGACGCGACTGCACAGCTTCGGGTAGTTTCATATCCAATTTCAAGGCGAAAAAAAATAATTTGGTCGATTATCGGGACAGGCGCTCGAACGAATATAACCCGGTGACTGACAATCTGTTGAGAGTGACCGTTGATAACATCGTCCGGGCGCTGCACCGCGCTAGCCAAGTTATTAGGCCCATGAAGGCCTCAAACTTTAGGGGTTCCGCATGCACACAGCAGATGATTCTAAGACGGATAAAGACTAATAGCTGAACGTCTCAGGTGCCGGCAGCTTTCTTGGCGCGATTTCGCAGAGCACTCTTTACAATTTTAAGGCTGTGGAAAGACATGCTAAACATGCAAGCCACTTTAAAGATGTTTTTTAAACAGCACCTAGTTTGTTCGTCGATTATGGTGCTAATATTCCGACGGATCTTACCCTGTGACCAATATAACCTATGTCGGTAACCGTGAAAAGATCCCTCGGAGCATTATACCAATATATCTTTAGAGATAGACGCAGTAATGGAGCTCAAATATATTATGAGGGTTTTGCAATTGGTCTCTTTGGGATCCGATGGATAAATTGGCATTGATTTTTATATTGGCTACCCAAGTAGGTCCTATACCTACTTAATCATTATTATTATTATTATTATTATTTTTAATATTATCATTGATGTTGGTAGCATGTCGTACGGATAAGTTTTCAGTAACCCGCAATCGTACTCTTTTGTGCCAATAGAGGTTAACATAGTGCACCTCTTCCTATTTTATCCGATGATCGTGGTTTTGTACGTTTGTTTTTTTAGTCAAATTGAAAATTGTCTCAGAGCGAGTTTATGTCCTGGGCTGACTTAACATTTTGAAAACTTCCTATATTTCATGCAATATGAATGCCGCTAGAATCTACCATTTGCATGGGCTGTGGCGTTGTTCTAAGTCGGAAAGGTGCTGGAGCAAAATTAAAGAGGTGGAAGCTTCCAATGACGCGTAATGTAAATAGGAAACCGCATCAAAGGAAACTTTCACATCTTTCAGAGAGGCTTCTCTGATTTTTGACGCGAGAAATTTGATGACATACATACAGTGCCTTAGATAAATATGACCCGGTGACTCATTCTTAATAAAATAGTTACCGCGGTTAAATTCATCCGAAAATCTGTATTATCCGCATTTATCAACACGTGTTTTAAGTAGATCATTTGTTAAAGGAAAGCCGCGTTGATCATGACATATCTGCTCAGACTAAATTTAACCCGGTGACCAAAACCATTTCAATAGACGGCTACCGTGGCTAAATTCGTCGAAGCATGATACCAAAACTAGCTAAATTACCAACACTTGTTTATTGACGCTTTTGACTGTATGCCAAAATATCCTACAAAAGCGATAAAGTGATATTATCTGATACGTTGCTATACGACTGACGGTGCCTAAAGGTTACGAGCTACCAAGTCGTCGGCTTGAATAGCTGAACCTCTGATTGAATATAGAAGCCGCTGGTCCGAGTACATGGGAGAGGTATGGTTGAATGAAGAAATATAAAAACAACGAAAACACATTCTTATAAAATCATACAGTAATGGTTAAGGGTTGCATCGGAACAATATGTGAACAAATGGAAAAATCTTTCTAGAGCAAAACATGTAGAGTTGGATGTTATCAAGGGAAATTTTCACGTACTAGTAGCATATAAGAGCATATAATGGAGGTATGAAATTTCTTTTGTAGACCCTGAGTTAAGCCATGTTAATTACCTTTATGGTGGATTGAACCATTTGCTTGCCTTACAGTTAATTACCTACCTTAGGTACGAAATAGCAGCCGGAAGCTTCGAAACGGAATTGCAAGCAGTCACTGCTCAGACGCGCTTGTGACTCATGATTTCTAGTACAGGTCAGAGTGGAATTGTCTCTGATAATCAGTGTCGCTGTAATGGTTAAATCGGTTGTAACGACGATTGTATTGAGATAATCGGTGAGTTGATGCCTGCACAAAAATGCAATATCCACCAACAAAAGAGTCAAAGATTGATCGCCGACTTTATGTTATCCTTAAAGCGAGCTACGTTAATCTTTAATCAACAATAGTATGGGCTATCATTAGTCAATGTACAGGACTTTTATTGAAGGCTATAATTAACAGGACTGCGTCCGTTCATGTTTAAACCAATTAGTAACACTCGAATCGAAATATTTAAGTACCGCAAGGATTTGAGCATCCCTGTCCCCCTATAACAGCGGAAATCTACATATTATCATAAAGTGACTCAGTTTTTAAGGTAGAATGTTTAGTAGGTTTATTATTTCGCCAATGGCTTGTACTCGGTAACTGATATGTGTGTTCTAAGGTTATACATAGCACCAGCACCAAACGTAAAATTCGAAAGTATTTACTCAGCTTGTCAGCTTAGAACACACCCGCAGGTT